ATCCCAAAAATGCTGTGTAATCTCAGCTCTGGAAGAATGATTGGAAAGGATCTCACAGAAATTGTAGAAACAGTCTCCTTGGAGCAGAAATGGCCAGTCCTTGTCTCTGAACTAAAGAGATGAGTTTCACCCAACTCCAGCATTGTAAAAGCACTCAGAGATCATCATCCCAGGCTTCCACTCCCAGGCTGATTTTCTTGACAGAATAGCTGAGAGGCTATTTGGTTTATTCTCCACCAGATAATTAGAAAGATCAGAGTGAATGCTACGATCAAGACCTGTGAACTCATGAAGACCAAACATTGAGCCTCATGGGCTATGAAGGAACAAGACACTGCCTTTGAAAAGCAAATACACTGATATAGAAAAGTATTCTAAAACTCAAGGGACAAACGCAGCTTTCTACTGGAAAACCAACCATACTGTTACTGAGCTTAGCATTTTGTATTCAAAGATACAAACCACGCAGCTTTCTCATGTCTTCAATGGGTCTCCAGTCCTCACATCCCTCTTGCCTCAGAAAAGATGCTGTAGAAAACTAGACTTAACAGCTTCTAGGGCTACAGCAGTGGGTAGTGTCTCCTGAATGTGGCTCTTGTGACAGAGGAATTTAATTCAGTAGTGGCACAGAGGCACAAACTTATCGTACCTGTTAATAGTATGTTAGCCTGAGCCCAACATAACCCAGACAGAAATCTAACTTGATGACAAAAGGAGGTATCTATGGAGGTAGCTCACACCCTCCAGAAATGGGAGCAAACACGCCTCTAACTGGTGGTTAAATAGCAAGTAATTTACCTGTCAGTGTGGAACACCTCAAGAACTGGCAGAATCTCCTGGGGAGCTGATATAAGGAGGTGGTATCAGGGCTGAACTACTTTTACAGAATGGATTTTTGTTTTAATTGATCTATTTTAGGAGCAGGAAAAGGATACCAGTAAATCCAAGTGTTTGTGAGTAGTTACATTACAGAACAACAACTGAGACTGTTCAGTGAGCCACTGCACTGCCAGTAACAAACACCATCCCAAGAACCATCTGAGATACCAGCAATTTCTGTCAGCACCAACTCACACAGTAGTTGTGTTTGGTCTCAAACACTTCCTTATGACAAAACGTATCATCACCACCCATTTCCCTTCACCTAACAGGGCTGCAGACAAATATTTATGCATGAACTTCATGACAGACACCCAGTATCAGGTGAGATGAATCCCATTACTTTTATCCAGTATTGAGCCCATACCTCTGAAGTCTCAGCAGAGGTTAAGCTGTCCCAAGCGATGTTCTTTCTTGAAGCAATACAAATATCTTCATGATACTCAAAAAAGGGAAAGGACGTTTACTAGATAGAAACTTAGATCCTGTTTACAGCTTCCTGGAAAACAAATGCATTTCTTAGAATCTAAGAGACTATCAAGCCCCATACAAGTAAGTACAATTGACAAAGTTAGCAGACTAAGAGTGGACTGAATGACTAAATAACAAAGGCCAAGGCTGCTCCCCAAATACGCACAGTAAAATACCTACAAGTATAACAAAATGCAGGGTGGCATTCTTAACACCCTCATTGTATTTTGAAGACTCAATGTATGTGTATACATGTATACACAGAGCTGTTAGGAAATTCACCATCCTTCATTTCATCAAAAATCCTAGCTGTGCAATCCATCTTACTCTCATGCATATACTCCACACATGAGACTGAAGATTCTAGATGTGTGGAGAACAATGGACATTTGGTGTAACAACAACCATTCTATGCTGTGGAATACCAGCCTTTGCACTCAGCATTACTGTGAAGCCTCTGCAGAGACAAACCGATGACAGAATGCCACAGCTCTACATAAACCCAGTGTCATGAAGTCTGCAAGTCACTTCCTTGCAGAGAGTCTCGGGAAGATCTTGTAGACAAAGCCAGGCAAAGGAAACTAGACATTTATCTGCATATTTTAGTATCTCTCACAAGCAACCTAGAACTGCAAACAAAACACAAGTAGTTTCACCTTCAGAATGATACAAACAGGTGAGAGTCTAGATGGGAACTCACTTAAGCTCCAGGAGACGAGCTGGAAAGCAATGCTTGTGAATGCTGGTTACTACTGTATGCTTAAATAAGCAATATAACTGCAATTCTGGAACACTGGAAGTTTTCTAGTTGTGTTTCATGTTAAAAACTACTATTTCAAACACTTTTGTGTGGATGACTAGGTGGATTTGGTACCTCTTTGTTCAGCCAAGGCAGAGCACTCCTATTGTCTGTGATGCTCTACACTAGATTAGGTACATCTATTACCTAACACCATGGTAAAGCATTTTGATAAAGCATGGTTGGAGCTATACCCAGGAAAAGTGGTCAAAATAAAATCACAGAATGGTTTCCTGGTCCACAGGAAAGGACCTTAAAACTCATCCAGTTCCAACCCCATGGGCAGGGACACCTTCCACTAGATCAGGTTGCTCAAAGCCGGGTCCAACCTGGGCTTGAGCACTGCCAGGGATGGGGCAGCCACAGCTTCCCTTGGCACTTCCCTGTGCCAGTAGCTCACCACCCTCATAGCGAAGAATTTCTTCCCAATATCTGATCTAAATCTATCCTGTCAGTTTAAAGCCATGATGACCCTTCCCATATCCATACCAGAGTTAAATTCCTTCAGCTCCTTCCCCAGGATGACTTCTTAGATAAAGCTATTGTTCTATACTTTGGGCAACAGTACTTCAGTGCTGTGGAAGATGAAGAATGGTTGACTGCTTAAAAATCCTGTTCTGCATCAACTAAGGAACCTGAGAAGCTAAGATTATCAATTCAGAGAGCTTTTAAAGAAGTGGATGGGGAGGGCAGTGTTTCTGAAGCTTGCACAAGTTGAGAAAATGCTACAGAAGCTTTCACATTAATCCTGATCAAGTTTAATGAGGACAAGCAAGATGAGACCTCCAAGTATGCCCTGGAACAGATCTACCTATCAGGCTGGCACTGCAGCTCACTCACTGATAAAACCTCTTCTTTGGTAAAATGATTGTTAACAAGGTAAAAGCAACTGCGCGAAGTTGCCCCATGCCACCTCCAGCACACAGAGCAACCCCATCTCCTGGTTCATTGTTCTCATTCACTTGGACCGAAAGGAAGGAAAGAAGATTAAAGTTGGTCTGTAAAGAAAGCAATGCAAATGCTACTCTCTTGCATTACGGGGCCAAGGTTGATGCTAAATGTGCTACTATCTTCTCCATATTGCAGCAGTCCAAAGAAGGGGAAAGAGAGAAACTTTGAGTACAAAAAGCAAGCTGCAGGAAAAAATTGGCATGGTTTAGGCAGAAATTTAAAATAAATAATTCTTAAAAAAAAACCAAAGCCAAACACCATAAACAAGAGAGATGATATTATATAGCACAATTTTTGCAGTTGGAACCAGCGTTGAGGTAACTGACTTACTAGTTCTCTCACATTACCAGTATTTTACCCTTAACAGAGCATTCTCCAGATACATGAATACTTGGATTTCTGCAAATACAAGATTAACAATATTTAGCGAAGTAGAAACTGGGTATTTTGTTACACTGCTTGAGCTGCATCTAAGACTTCTGCATCAACCCCTACAGTGAAGGAAGTCTGTGTCGCAAACGTCTGGATATAATGGTGCCAGGCTGGTCTTGGTACCCCTCATTCTGTATTGGGTTTGGATTTTGAAACATTTTCTAAGGCAAAATTGATTTAGTAACTGAGGAATTTGTTACATGTAAAGTTTTAGCTTTTCTTGTTCAAAAGGAGGAAAATGTAACACCCTCTTTGAAAAGATTTTCATGTTTTAAAAGACTATTGAGATTGAAGAGCACTGCAGCAAACAACTGAAGGTTTTAAAACCCAATGCATGTAACTAACATCCTCAAAGTAACAAGTCTGAAACTTCAGAAACTTCACTCCCCTTCATAGAGTACGTGATTTCTCACACTTACTTTTGCTGCTTTGACAGCCGGTAAATATCACTCTTGCAGTACCAAAAAGACCTGGAGAGGTTTTTGCTTCTTTCAGGTCAAGCCATCAGCTTCAGGATTGTTTTAAACAAAACACAGGCTTCTGTAACAGTATCAGCGGCTACCAGATCACGTTGTACATTTGCAGCTGGAATAACACTACATTTTATAATGTACACCTTATGCAGTGAAATTGCATCTGAACACGAGAAACATCTTTAAGTCAAGATATGTAAATTTACTGTCATAAAAGGAATGCCATTAATTTTCCATTCTACACACTCAGGTGAAAAGTTTGTTAGAAACAAACAAAACCGCGTAAAATCTGTAAAGGCAATAATATACAAAGTTCCAAATATAAAATCATGACTTGTATAGTTTGTCACTTGCATCTTTTCACAAGAGGAAATTAAAAGAACCACACATCACTGAACTTCTACACAAGCTTCTTGTGTTTCAATGTCATTTATTGAGGAGTGAATGAGATACTGTCAGACATGCCAAAGAGACTTCACATTCAAGGGCTGGAAGCTGAACAGCTTTCCTCATTGAGTCACTGTTGTTTTGGGGATCTGAAAGTCCGATCAATGAGGTCTTCATGCTTGATGTTTGTCTTCAGTTTTTCATCTTCTGATCTACTAACTTGTTGGGCAGAAGGACATTTTCTACCCTACCAAGACTCACACTCCAATTAATACAATTAACACTAGATGTAGAGAAACGTTTATCTGTTATAACGTATGTCTACTGCTGGAAGTCTTAAAGCTGTTTCTTAATTCATTATGTCTAATGAGAAAATTCAACTTGTTTCCCTTTCACCATCATAGGGATGGCTTATACCGTTAGAAAAATACTCTTCAGTGCTATTGTAGGGTTTACAGGAAACATCTTCTGTGTTGTGGGATAGAAACAGATTTAAACACCGTTCTGAAAGAATGCTTCTTCTTGCTGCCACTGCCTGTAGGTTGCAGAAGAATGGCCTACACGCGCTACAGTTCGGTTTTACTCAAAAAAGAAACAAAAGAAACCTAAACAGTAGGGTAAACGTTTATTTGGAGTTAGTTTTCTTGCAGGTGATAATTAAGGCCCTTCAAGCAGAGTTCAGTAGCTCCTGTATGGCTGCCTGTTGATCTGCATTGAGCTGTGATATGCATTCTGTCCACAGTTGTCCAGATGTCTGGAAAACAAAATGGGAAGTTGCCTTTAAGCAGGCTGTCAAACTTCTAAGGCACACACTAACCTTTCACGTTTACAAATATATACACATATATGCCAAAAAGAACAGACTGAAATTTTCAGTCACACAATCCTACACATGCTTAACTAGAGAAGCTCTGAAATGCTAAACAGAGGTGAGCTCTGGTTAAACAGCAGTGGAGTAATTCATTGGAAACTCCTGGGAACTCCCTATAACTAAGTGGGTCAAATGACAATTGACACTCTTAAGTTAACCACAGCCTAAACCATTTGCTGCATTTTGCACACAAGTTGAAAGATCAACCCTCAGGCGAAACTGAACCATGTCTAAATGGAACAGTATCTTTTGGGCAGGTGCAACAGTTACATTCACAGGAAGGGAACGCTGTGATACCATCATGACAAGCTACACACACTACATGTGTATATGCAAAATGCCGCTGCCCACACATGGCATTACTCTTTTGGGAAAGGAATAGGTAAATTACTTCCCAGAGAGAACAGAACACGTGCAGTAGCATCCATCTGGGTAAGCAGAAACCCACACTTTGTTGCTCCTCAGTATAACTCATCTGTGTTACCATAGCCCTCAGCTGAGATGTTAGCTTTTAAAGTCACCATCACTCGGGACTGGTTCTAATGGTACCAGAAAATGCTGTAAATTAGAAAAGGCTGGGAAATAGGATTTATTCACTTATCAACAGAAGCTGGAAGCAACTGGCACCCTACTTTCTATAGAAGGATGATGATACGAAAAATTGCAGGTGACTGGCTGTAGGTTTTTAAATTAGCTTCTGTAATAGCAGTATACTTGAAGTAAACTAAGAAATACTTTAATTTATATTTGGCATATTTTACATTCAGCTCTACTGTAATTCCCTTTTCTCCCACACTTTTTAGGAAAAAAAAAAGTAAAAAATGAATTCACAGAATTCAAAAGAACTTGGAAACAAAGTCTTCAAGTTGGAGTCTGGGTTTTTAAACAGCATTAGGCATTTTAGACTCTACATGTGCAATGGATTACTGCAAAATCAAATGTGCTCTTCCAGCACTTCTGACACACATTTAAATTAATACTCTACTGAAATATTTCTGGCCTGAGAATACCTAAGCACGAGGACGAGTTTATGTTTCATTCCAGCTATGACTATAACGTTGCTCATGTCAGATGCTGGCAGTGGAAAAGCTTACTGAGATCATTAGAAAAAAGTCTGCTGGAACCTGGGAAGCAGCAGCAGCATCTGGCTGACTGTTAACAGCCTTTAAAGTTCCTACCATGGTATAAAACATTCACAGTGCTTAACCCAAGCCAAGGTACTATGTGTGAAGACAGAAAGGGTTGGTAACACTATACTAAAATTGTATTTAAAAAACAAAACAAAACAAAAAAACCCAAACCCATGACCTTTAAGATGCACAGTCTGAATGTAAATCATTCTCCCAGTGCAGAAGTCTTGTTTCCATATTAATGTTCCTACTATTCCTGGCCGAAAAAGGACTTTGCTATACACAACTGATCTCTACATGTATGGGCTACTGTATTGTTAAAAATCAACTAACCTTGAGCATTTAAGGTAAACAAATGCATTTGCATACCCTAATACAGAAGTTCCATACCCAAACTAAGCACTAACAGTACGGATTCATGTCTGTCAGTCAGAATCTAGAACAGCCACTCACATCACTTTCACTTTGGAACTTTGCTCGATTTCATTCTTTTTATGCCTTCAGAGTTTTAATAGGTCATTTTCTACCAGACATAACGGATCTCACAGGTTGACATACTCATCTAAGTGAATCCTTTCAAAAAATCAAGTATTCCTGAAGTTCTTGAACCTGAGTTTTGCCAAAGCATGCAAGGTAGAATGGACAACAATTGAACTGCTGCTGCTCCAAATCCTCTACATGTTTTTATCAGCTCTATGCTTGTGCTGTGATTTTCTTGCACTAAATCCAACACAGCACGGTATCAGCTGCTAGAAAGGAAAACATCCCAGCAGTAATCAGGACAGCTCACCAGGCACACTGCTTAATATCATTAGGTGCTGCAACTGTCAAGTGTGTCTACACGATAACATCTGGCCCGGGGTCAGATCTGCCTTATAAGCCCTATCACAAAACTGTAGAGAGGTGCTGCTTAAATACTTAAGACATCACCATCAGCCATCACTGTAAGTATCTGTTACAGCATAAAGGAAGCGAACCTTGAGGCAGCTCCCCAAACGTAGAAAAACATTGAACAGCTGCCTATATCTGTACTGGATTAAAGAGGGCAGTAGTAAAATTACTTGTGGCTTGCACTCATTCTCTAGCAAAACTCACAAGCCTCTACCGTATTACTAGGTCACCACAGGGTGCTGAGGACCCTTACAGGAACCATACACGTGTTGGATCAAATACCACCGTACAGTTCATTGATACAAGGATAGGCAGATTTCTTTCCAAATTTTAATTTCTGGCTCAGAAAACACAATGAAACAACCCCACAAACAATCTATACTGGCTAGTACGTTAACCATCTAGCTGCATGAATTTTCTGTTTGCTTTTAAATTAATAAGCTTCTGAAGTTTATCAAAAGAGATTCAAGCGCAAATGCTACCAAATTTTATCATCAATGGTTCAAGGAATGCCCAAGGATCTTCAAGATCAGTGGTTGAAGCACTATTCTTTAAGGAGGTAAGGCTCTCAAAACTTGTTTAACAGTTTGGTTACTTCTGAAAGCAGATTCCAAATGTTCCCTTCACACCTAAGCAAGCATTTACTTACCTGCACTTGGCGCACAACATTAGCCAACCGCTTGATACATGGATCTTCATGTTTAATAGCTTCATGAATTTCACCATCTGCTATTATACCAAATATTCTGGGAAGGTTGGAATTGTTGGGACCGAGGACAACTGGGTTGTTGCTGTTACAATCAAAATATAATACAAATAAATTAATGTGTAACTTTAAAAAAAGTAAGCATTTTCCATGTAAGTGGAGTGATTTTGAAATTTTTATCCTAAAGCTGCTTATTGACATTTAAGCTTCACACAGCTGAGTAAGTACACACAGCTTCATTGCCTGCTGACAGAATGTTCCCTCTCTGGTTAATATTTAACCAGCTGACTCTTTAATCGGCCCACACTTTATCAGGGAAAAGTTCTGAGCTGTACAGAATGGATGAGCTCCATGCAGGCAGAACTGTAAACAGCGTGACAGAAATACCCTGCCTAAAAGGGCTTGTTCCTCCCTCTCGTAGTGCTGCAAGGGGGAGGAGATTGTGTTACTGGCATGGGGAGAATCAGAGACTGCAGCTCTCTGCCAGTACTCACAGACAGCAAGCAAGCAGTTCTACTCCCTCTTCCCAGCCAAGTATTGGAGTAAAGAAGTTCTGGCAACCAGGGATCTGGGTGAAAAACACTACCTACTTCCAGCCCAGCTACCTACCACTGCTGGAATGCAGAAGCTGTGAATGTAGGACTGACGGAGATCCAGGGAAGTAACACTGCAAGGCTGAGCCATGTGCACAGAGCTGGGTACGGAAGTGTGCTAGTACTGCAATTCCCAAGTTCTACATACATCTGTATATGCATACGTGTCAGTATTATTACAGTGCCTCTACACAATAATCAGTCCAGGGATCTCAGTTGCTGCTACCACCTTGCCTTAATAAAGCATCAAGAGATACAAGGTATCCACATAGCAGAAAAGACTATAGGAAGTCTAAGTTACTTCTTTTCAATTTTTCTAAGATATAACGGGTGTCAGCCACAGCACGGCTCTCACATACTGTTTCAGAAGCTGACATTCTTCCACTCAATTATGAAGTGCAACTTGTACCCACACTGTAAGATTATCTTTTCTTCCTCCACTGACTTATTGGAGGGAGCACAAATCTAAAGAATAAGCTGTGGGACAAGATGCTTTCAGCAACAACTGAAATTATTATTACAAACTTAAGGGAGATTGCACTGTACCATGAATTTCTCTCTATTATTTCTCTACTTCATACTTTTTGTTGATACTAAAGCTTCTGGAAAGCAAAAAGGTACAAATCTACTTTAAAAGGTTATGAAAAGAAGGCTGCAAGGACATGTGTGCTGCTCTTAAGTAAAAAGGCTTGATCAGTAACGTTAATACGTAAACAAAATAACAAAAAATTTCCTGGAATTTTCTGTATAAGTTCCCAGCTGATAACTTTCTCATCACATACATAAAAGTAATCCCTGGCTGCTTTAATAAAGCCATACAGACATTAGTTAGGATAAGAACACTATTTAAAAAAAAACAAACCAGCAACAACATAGTGGGTCAGTTCTGACTTTCCAAATTCTCCTCCCTAAAGCATGTGCAAATTAACCTGGCAGTTTCTCAGATTTGGAAAAATGAATGCAAGGGAAGAATCTGCAAACAAGCTTACTTTCTGCATTGATGTCAAGACTTTGTCTTACCTCTCAATCAAGTCACACAGATAATTGAAAGTATAAACAGCTTCTTCTTTATCTTCATGAAGAGGAAGCCATGATAACCAGTGTGGCAGGACTTCTTCAACATTTACACAGTCAGGCTTGAACTTCATTATCTTTCCTACAGCTGAAATGCAGTTCTCTGTTGCATTGACATTCTCTTTGGTTTTGGCATCCGGTGACTGAATGACTCTCACCAGCAATGGAAGCGCCTCTAATTGTTAGATAAAACAAGAAGAAAGTTTATTGCACAATCAATTTTATGTTACGAACATCACAAATTCCACATGTATGTGGATTTTTTTTTGCAGCTAAAGCACTAAAATACAGTCATCCCAATGTCCCACTACTTCTAGACTTTCATTGCTCAAAAATCGTATGAAAAATGGATAGTTAAAGCTATGCAAGGAAACATTAGAAAACGGCTACTGCAGAAGTCTGGATCTGCTTTACAAGTTCACAAAAAAAGTAAGAACCTTCCTGTGTAAGTCTGATCTAAAAGACATTGTAGTTTATAGTAAAAAATTAGGTAGAAGCATTATTTTTTTTTAATCTAACAGGTTTTAGAAACACAGGACGATGAAAAGCACTGATGGAGTGACATTCACATTAATTTGGACTGTAGCGCATGTCTACACTGTATACCTGTACATCTAGTGCTTGTGCACACAGAGATATATAAAAATATGTATGTATGTACACATACACAACTCCCACCATTAAAAGGCGCACTGGGAAAACCTCATAGGAGAAATCTCATCTGGTGAACCCAATGGGCACAGTTTAGATGTAAAAGAAAAAAAAAAATCATCAGGGAAAATGCCAACCAAATTCCTTGCTAGGTTAATAACAGTTCCATTATTTTAGGTCATGCAGGTAGCCACAGGCACACTTAGTGACATGACAAGGGGTAACGGGTTCAAACTTAAACAGGGGAAGTTTAGATTGGAGGAAGCTCTTTACTGCAAGGATGGTGAGGCACTGGAATGGGTTGCCCAGGGAAGCTGTGAATGCTCCATCCCTGGTGGTGCTCAAGGCCAGGTTGGACAAAGCCTTGAGTGACATGGTTTAGTGTGAGGTGTCCTTGCCCATGGCAGGGGGGTTGGAATTAGATGATCTTAAGGTCCTTTCCAACCCTAACTATTCTATGATTCTAAGTGAAGATTAATGTCACAATTTTAGTTACTAGTATCTATGAGGACTTCAGAGCACTCTACATGCATTCAGGAACAATTGTACTTGTGTTCTTCTGCTAAAAATGCTAAAGCTATGAAATTCTCTATCAGCACAGAAAATAGGTTATAGAATTGTGCAGAAAGCACACTTCAAAATAACTCCAATTACTGAGAGTGAGACCTCACACTACTTCATTTGCATGAGTAAGTAACAGCTTCGCAGTTAAGAAATACACAATGACACTTGCTATATTAACTTCACTGAAATAGATTTGTGAAGAATTTAGCAGCTATGGAAAACAGGAATTAACCCTAAGCTAGACAAGGACACTTCTTTACAGAACTGCAACAACTTGGTCATCAGACCTGCTAGCTTGTGTACTGAATGCAGGATAACAATGCTGGACTTTTCTGCAAAGCCAAATTTGTATCACAGAAGTCTACTATGTCTACTATGAAATTCATTCATGTACATACATAAGAATTCAAAACACGTTTTAGGTGCCTGCTAATAAGCTGGATGCTGTAAACTAGAAATTTTTTTAATCTAAACATCAACTAAAGGAGAAGCCAAGTGTCCGAGTTTAATCAAAGCTTATTTATCCAAAGAAAAAGAATGAAGTTGTTACAAAGTTTAAGTGGGCCAAAGTGAAGTCTAATGAATGAAAATTAAGCTTAGACTTGAAGAGATGTTAAACTTCCCCAAAACTTCAAAAGCAGAACTGTCTCTAACCCACTAGTTTTAGGACAAGACATAAAAACCTTACAGAGAAGTTCACAAACTGTTTTTCTAGACAATTTTAAACGTTAATGCTCTTAATGGTTCACTGCAACGGTTCACCCCTGCTTTTTTCTTTTTCTGAAAGACACCTCATCTTGATTGTCACCTTGTGGCAGTTACATTTATCCCTATGACATGGTTCTTACTTTCTTATGTCATTTAATTCAGCTTCTGTTCAAGATTCCTGTGAAACACATATTTGAAACAGCTGACTAAATATTTGCTTTAAAAGTAAGAAAATCTTTTATAAGGGATGCTAGTTAGTGCACAAAATGAACTTTGTTGACTGGCAAGAGGAGTGCCAAGAAACAGCCATTTCTTTAAATTCCAGATGAAGTTTTAGAGAACCTCAAGACATTCAGAGAAAGCAATGTTTCTGATACGCATTATCATACTAATTTCATTTCTTAGTCACAGAAATCAGACTCCTTTTTATATAATGGGAAAGCAGAGTACCACATTAGTCATTAGTATTCTAGGCTACTGCTAATAGATGCTGTATAATTTTTACAGACATTGAAAGGGTTTTGCATTAATATGTAATCATATTAGTATTAATCAACAGAATTCAGAAACAGAAATGCTAGTACACAAAACACGATTAAAATCCCAAGGAATTCAGGGACTGCACTAATCACCACCAGTCTGCCACAGAGGTTACACTGGCAATCTACTTTGCTGCCACAGGGAAGAGACCTCATTAACCAGAAGGCCAGCAAATTTTAATTACTCTCCTCCCCAATCCCCAAATCCCACATTCAAGTAGTTTTATCATAGAATAGTTAGGGTTGGAAAGGACCTTAAGATCTTTTAGTTCCCACCCCCTGCCATAGGCAGGGACACCTCACCATAAACCATGCATGTACATACCTGTGCAAAAAGGACGATAGCTGTCTCCGCCAAATTGTGCCATAACTCCAACACCATAGGCAGCTGCTTGCCTAACCTCTGGGCTGTTGTCACATATTGACTGGAGCATTGGCCTCAGGAAGTATTCAGCGTACTTGAACGAGGAGGGGCTGCAGTGCTCGACAATATCGTCAAAAATGCATAGCCCCCACTGCCTGTCAGGCCACGGCCTATGTGGACACTGCATCAAAAACAGGTAATATTTAAGTCACCTTAAAACTGGCATTTCATACAGTCAGCAATTAGATCAACAGAACAATCACAGTAACAGTGGTCTGGTAATTCTGTTAAAATCCTCCTGGATTAAATTTAATCTTACAAACACACAATTTTCTGCTGTGATACTTTCAGCGATACCATAAACAAAACAAAATCCAGGTGAATATCTGATAAAACATACAAATTATCTACCAAGTTCTCTAAGATTCCAGGCCTATCAACACATTAGAGCAAGCCAGGTACTTACGATTAGGTTGACAATTAGTGGAAGTAGCCTTTCAAACCACGGGAGTACCTTCTCCTTGTAACTGCTGAATATTGAGTGCAAAATGTCCGATACTTTAGTCAAAACATAAACGTCATTGTCATCCTGATAAGGAAAGGATACAAGTCACATTAAGACTAATGATCTTAGAAATAGTGAAAGTCACATGAAATGCCAAGGTGTCTAAACTAAGGGAATGAAGTTCAATGATTTGGTTTTGTAAACCCAGTCTTCTAATGTCCACTATTTTTCAACTCTTGATCTAATGACAAAAAGATGGAACAGTTTGGGCTGGAAAGGACCTTAAAAATCATCCAGTTCCAATCCCCTGCCATGGGCAGGGACACATTCCACTACACCAGGTTGCTCAGAGCCCCATCCAACCTGGCTTGAACACTGCCAGGGAGGGAGCATCCACAACTTCTCTGGACATTCTGTGCCAGTCCTACCACCCTTAAAGAGCTTCTTCCTATTACCTGATCTAACTAAACCTCCCCTCTTTCAGTTTAAAGCCATTCCCTTTTGTCCTGTCACTACACACCCTTGTCAAAAGTCCCTCTCCAGATTTCTTGTTTGCCCCTTTAAGTACTAGAAGGCTGCTGTAAGGTCTCCCCAGAGCCTTCTCTTCTCCATGCTGAAAAAGCCCAACTCTCTCAGCCTGTCTTCACAGAAGAGGTGCTCCAGCCCTCTGAGTATCTTTGTGGCCCTCCTCTGGACCTTTCTCCAATAGGTCCATGTCCATCTTGCATTGGGGAGCCCCAGAACTCAACACATCACTGCAGGTGGGGTCTCATGAGAGCAGGGTAGAGGGAGAGAATCCTCTGCCTCAACCTGCTGGTCACACTCCTTTTGATGCAGCCCAGAACACAGTTGGCTTTCTGGGTGGCAAGCTCACAGTCCTGGCTTATGTGTCATTTTTCCATCAACCAATATCCACAAATCCTTCTCCACAGGGCTGCTCTTAATCCATTCACTCACCAGTCTGTACCAATACTGGGGATTGCCCTGAACCAGATTCAGGCCTCTGCATTTGGCCTTACTGAAGTTCACACCTGTCCACTCCTCATGCTTTTCAAGGCCCTTCTGGATGGCACTTATCCCTCAAGCACATTAACTGCACCAGCCAGCTTGGTGTCATCTGCAGACTTGCTCAGGGATTCCTCAATACCACTATCTACCTTGTTAATAAAGACATTGAACAGTACTGGTACCAGTAGAGACCCCTGAGGGACACCCCTTGTTACTGATCTCTATTTGGACATTGAGCTACTGAATGCAATTTTTTGGACATGGCCATCCAGTCACTCCCTTGTCCACCAGATAGTCCTTCCATCGAAGCTCTGTCTCTCCAATTTAGTAACAAGCATGTTCTGTGGGACAATGTCAAAGGCTTTACAGAAGTCGAGGCAGATGACATCAGTTGCTCCTTCTTAATCCACCAACACAGCCACTATCATTGTAGAAACCACCAGATTATTTGGGCATGATGTGCTCTCTGTGAAGCCGCATCAGCTGTCTCTAATCACCTCCCTGTCTTCCATGTGCCATGACAAAGCTTTCAGAAAAATCTGTTCCAAGATCTTACTGGGCACAGAATGAGTCTGACTGGCTGGTAGTTCTCAGAGTCCTCCTTTTTACCCTTCTTAAAAATGTAAGTCAATTGCTATTGTGTAGGATTTGAATGTTTGTTTCAGGGACAGAAAAATTCTATCATGATAAACACTGTCTTGTGCAAATTTACTGCTTCAGTGGGTTCCCTTTACAGAAGACAGAAAGTCCTTTTCCTCTTCTGTACCTTACAGATACTACAACAAGCTTTTATTGAAAAGTAAATGGGTAACTGCTTTTGTGACAGAAGATTGTAGCAAAAACGTAAGAAATACGAATCCTCTCCTCTTGATACTTCACTTCTCACCTTGCTCAATTATTGCATCAAACTGGTGAAGTAAAGATCCTTAGTTCAGATCCAGCTATCAATTCATATTATAGCTCCAAGTAAGGATTGTTCCTCAGACACACTTCCATTCGGAAAACCCTTTTTTGTTTTAAAGCAAGTTCTGCTATACTTTGTATGACTCTTTTAATCAGTTTATACTTTAAAAGGCAGGGGAACATAATACAGCTAGTTTCTGGTCCCTAGTGAGAAACTAGTAAGTATTTCTCATGTAACAGACACCTTCTCAGAACTGGATATTTAAAACCTTCCTGATCAGGCAACTTTTGCATTGTCAGGGCATAATTCAAGCAGTAACTCTGGAACATACACATGAACAAAAATAGAAAAAGAGAACTGCTACAGCACACTGCAAGGTCCACCTGGCCTCGTATTGCTTACTAATAGCCGATAACAGATGCTCAGGGGGAGAGCTTAGCATATGCCTTCTCTCTACCACATCAGCAGCTTAGCTATTGCCTAAGCTGGGGCTGTACCTGGATATCTTACAGAGATTACTGTTTGAATATTTTTTGTGACTTCTGTACTCCCTTATACTTCTGCTGCCTTGAGGTAAGGGCTACATAAACAAATTCTGGGACCTAAGATATATATCTGTTACCATATGTTAATTCAGTCTATATGGCAAATGACATTCTGGTCCCACTCCTATTTTCACAGGGTAATGCAGACATGTCTTCCTTGCAGTCTTAAAAAAAAATAAAAATAAAAAATCAGCAAGCTCAAATAGAAATTAAAGCATTTTTAAAATGCCTCGCAGCTCTGTGCAGAATATGGATTCAGCTTTTCTGAAACTGCTGCTTGCTAGCATTTTCTCTCATTATCAGTGCACAGTGACACATAAGAAAAAAACTGCTTAACTCACTGTCTACAAGAGTGAACAGTAAAGCAAACAAGAAAAAGAAAAAACAGAAAAGGCTCTTGGCTCAGAACTTGAGTTTTGTTATTTTTTTTTTATCCCAAGCAGTACGTAGGAACCAGAATTCTATCCTTTTGAATGCTGGCCTAATGCTCCCAAAGGAAAGGGGCTCTAGAACTGCTGTTATTTCTGAGAGTATTTACATATGGGTGCCTGATCTGTTAAGAAAGATACTGGAGTCTGTATTCAGGTTAAACTCATGCAAACAAGCTTCACAATTCAGCTTCACACCTGCACTGGGGCAAAAAAAACCCCAACTGTTCTAGTTCTTAAATTTACTGAGCATCCTTTGCATCTCTTGTCATAAGCAGCAGTCACTTATTATTCTTTATTACTCTTTCCATACCAATGACAATTTAATAGAACTACTCTATCTCTTCTACAGTCACCTCAACTTTAAATTAAAAAAGTCAGTCTGGCATCTTAGCAGGGAAGCATTCATTTTGGTATTCTCTCATAAGCAAACACATTATGTCAGCTATTCATTCTACTGTCCTCCTCTGATACTATTTTAGGTCTATTCTTTTTGAGACAGGCTCTTAACCTGACACATCAGAGGTATGCTCAAGGTCAAGAGCCACCTAGGTCATAAGGCACAAAGAAAAAGGAAGTCAGCAGGGCTAGGCTTTAGATAATCACTAAATAGCGTGCTGTAAAGTGCTGTATTAAAGTCATCTAAGAATTGTTTGAGAGGATTAAGAAAATTAAGAGCCATATCCTGAACTTGCTCCTTCAGTATACCAGACAAGGAAATGTTCTGTATTTTATAATTTAATCATGTAGTGTGACCTTCTTCTTACTGGAAGTTTTGAAGGAATATGGTAACATACATTCTTCCAGAAAGAAATAATTCTGCAGATGCTATGCTTTAACTGAGTAGCATAGCATATCCATGTAATGTAGTTCCATCCTGGTGCTCTGCAAGTGGAAAAGCTCCCCGAACAAACTTACCTCATCTTGTAATGACTCTTCAACTTGTTCATCGTAGTCTTCATCTTGTCTTTTCACTGAGTTAAAAAAAACAAATATTAAACCATTACATTTCTATATAAAAAGCCCGTGAAAGCAAAAAAAAAAAAAACCACAAAAAAAAACCCCCAACAAAACATTTAGAAAATAGGAAACAATAGCTGAAGATGTAACAGGAATTTTGTCTTTAAGGAGCTTCAAAGAGCTTTCACAGAGAAACGAGAAGTATAATGAGACAGATCAGTTTAGGAGTGCATGTAAAGCACATGAAATACAAATATACACAACCAGCTTGTCCACAAGGACAAGAAAAATACATAGAAATAAGAAGCTACCAGCACTGTCCTCCAAGTAAATCTGTCCATCAACTTCTGATTCAACTGCAGAATTTCTGCAAATGATGCCATCTTCATCCTCCCAGAGCTCACAAATGTAACTCACGGATTCTGTTGTTTCAAAGCCCAATTACCTTACATAAATATGCAAATTAAAGAAATCTGAACTAAGCTTCTTTTTGTGTTCAGCAGTTATTAGGAATTCTGCTTTAAAGAACAGCCATTATCCCATGTCAACAGGAGTTTGTGTTACCTTGTCTTAATTCTTGGTTTTTAAAGTGCTCTTCTAGTTTTCCTTTCAATATTCCTCCAAGTTCTTCAAAGTGTTCATTGTTAAGGCATCCATCTCCCATTACATCAATGCACTAGTGAAATAAAATGATCATTTTTTCAGCTTTAAGTTACATGAGCAGTTTCAATTAAATCTAAGCACACAATATTAACACATGCTCTGCTTTAAGTGATCATTAACAGAAATGATACTAATAGAACATTCATACTCTAATCAATGCCCTAATTATACAAGGCAGGCGTAATACCACTGCACATTCCATGCACAGAACTTCAGTGCTTTCTGTTTAAAAATTAATAAATCCAGTCATTATTTTAGGTTAATACTTTGGTATTTTGGTTCACACAACTAAGTTTTCAATCAGCTATAATATTTACAGTCAAGCCAAAATTCAGAGGAAGCTTTGCAATTAATTCTTCCAGCCATTTAAACGATCAAACTCATGTCCTTTCTTACTGTAAAAAGCTACGAACAGTAACACCACTAAATTTGTAAGGAAGAAGTTACCTTTGCAAAAGAATGCATTATTTCTGAGAGGACATCTGAATCTGGTTCTGTTCCAATGGCTTTGATGAGCGCATCACACATGAAGTGCCACATCTGTGTGAGGTACTCTGGCCCACGAACTCTAGCACATTCAAGAAGCAGGGGCATTGACTCTGCTGCTGCCACTCGAACACGTTTCATTATTAAGGAAATAAAACAATCAAGGCCAACATAAAGTGCTTAGAATTTAAGCACCCACCACCATAATGAAGTTATTAGATTTTTACCTGAAATCTATTTTTTAATTGTAGTGTATTTGATTTCTTAATTAGATACAGATTAAATACACAGAAAAATTAAACTTTAAGTTGTTTCAAGACTGTTTCAAGCCATGACAGAAAATCTATTCAAGTTCTCCTTCACTTTGTTGGCACAAACAGCACTTCCTATTACTTTCTTGTAAAATTATAGACATGTTTATTTAAAAAGAAACTAGGGGAAAAAGTAGGATACATTGCCTAAAATAGTGTGTAAAACAATGTTCTCTGAAACAATTTCTGCTATAAAGCAACAGAATTTTTTAACACTAACACTTTCAATATGTTTAGGAAAACAGTAAGCATGACTTTTGATTCTTCCAAATTAAGTTTCTGTTTTCACAGTAGAATCTGTTAATAGGATATCATCATGGAAATAGAACTTCAACAAAGGAACCATCAGCTTTACAACTTGTTCTGTGTACTCCACAAATCCTTCTTTTAGCTCTTTTGCATAGCAAACCTGAAAAAAAAGCATGGAAACACCACCTTTGAGTGAAAATACTGTTACAGATGTTTTCTCACCCATGTAATGGTGAGAAAAATTGTTAGAAGTTTTTTTTAATTTATTTTTTAAAAGCATGCAATAACCCATTTATTTACCCCCTCCACTGTGTTTTTTTAAGAAACTCTGATAGCACCGTAAGTTCTCATCTCAGTCTTAGAACATTTAAGCATTTTTCAAACCAAATTCAGAAACATCAGTATTCCCTGAGAGGATCTACTCTTCAACATTCCAAATTCTTTAGAAGTTTTGCTAACGAAAGGAAAACGATCTGTTTATCTTAAGAATTGAAGTTTCAAAATAAAGGAACTATTTTTAATCAAGCCAGCCACACACAATGAATTGTCTGAAATCTACTTGACATATCACATAAAGAAAAACAGAACTATTTCATTTGGTACTATAAAGAATATTTTTCCTCAGAGATTTTGGCTTCAAACTTGATTGTCCAGCAGTACCAAAACTCTATTACTCACCAGCATCTGGCATGCAGTTGCTTTTTCTTCAAGGCCTGCAGTTTTAATTCCAAAACTTTGCTGATCTCCTAGATTTACAAATTCCCAACCATCATCATCACTCATATTTTCCATATCTTGTGCTGTTATATACAAAGAGGAAAAATAAATATGTAAGTGCTACAAAATCATTTCAGTACCTTTTTCAAGCAAAACATGATTTTAAACCTACTGTCTAAAAGAGCTACTTCAGGTTTTATGGACGCAGTCTTCATTAAAGGTCCCATGACAACAGGAAGGTACTGCTGAAATTCCTTTCCAAGAATCTTGCACATTCTGGCCCATGCTGAGATCATGTAAGAAATCTGGAAGAGAAGAGTCAGAATTTTCATGTCCCACAGTTATTTAAAGGAATGCATAAAGGAAGAACATTATACAATAGGACTTTTAAAAAGAATTTGTCAGCAGTCCATAAAACTTATTTCAATGAGAAGAACTCATCCAATGTGCTATCCATATAAAAATGCATCTTCAAAAGACATGTCCCCAGTCTGTATTCGTAACAACGCATTAACAGTACCTCAAAGTCACTATATATGTAAAAATGTGACAGTATCAGATGTACTTGCAATGCAGCCATGACTGTCTTGAAAAGTAAACTTTCTTTTCTGAAACGAATCATTCCCTAAATTTAAGTGATACCACTGAGCCATATGCCTGAAAATAACAGAGCAAAAAAGAAAGCAGCACTGTGCTTTCAGGCGTATTTGTTTTCAAATGCACAAGTCAAAATAGCACTTCACTCATTAGAACAGCTGTCTAACAAGTCTTGTTGAACTATTTATATGGAGGTGACACCAAAGGAATAGGTCATACACGGCCAAAAAAAGTAGTTAGTAATAGACTAGGAATGATCACCCACACGCTGAAATTTCTTCAGCAAATACAGATCCTGGAAGTCTCATTTCCTAAACACATTTCTGTGAAAGAGTCTAAGGCCATCTTAGGGCAATCAATCCCAATTTATGTAAGACATGCTGAAAAATTAGCCTGAAGTTGTAATTGGGGAAGGGGGGGCGGGGGGTCAAAAACATCACATGTACAAAGAACACTTTTAATACTAACCAACAAGTTATGCACTGTAAGTTTAACATACCTGTGGATCATCATCTTCTAGATCACTGAAGTCTGTTTGTGTCTTCAATAACAGCTGCATTACATCTGATGCATCCTGCATAAACTAGATACAGGAAACAACTATATGTTTTTAAAGGCAAATTAAAAGGGTGCTTTTAGTACTTAAATGTACTTTTACACTAAAGTACTTTTTAGACTTAAATGATCACTTAAATTGTTTGGTGTTAAGTCCAGCACACTGCCAAGACACAAGTTAAAGCTAGAAATAGAGTCATAGAATAGTTAGGGTTGGAAAAGACCTTAAGATCATCTAGTTCCAACCCCCCTGCCATGGCCAGGGACACATCCCACTAATACATGCCACTCAAGAAAAAATGAAGACTGAAATGCAGGAAAAAAATGAAAACACAAGTTTTTTTTCTGGAAGCGTCACCAAGTCATTCTTGTCTTAAGCTTCACTATATATCTGTTCATACACTTGAAAGCAGAGGAGTATTTAAATAAAACATTACATAGATAAATACTAATACTCCAACAATTCTAACTTTCCCAGATACCCTTCTCACTATTTTGATGACTCCTTTATGGAACTGGGACAAAAGCTGATAGGATGAGCTACTTATGAGCTTGTAACGTTCTAGGTCACATCAGATGCCTCACTGATGTTACACCTACCTTCTTTTCACGCCCCACGTTCCCAGTAGCCCTCCAACAATAGTCATTAAAATTAATTATGTTTAAAATCTGTTTAAAATTTAGTTGCATGAATGGTAAGTGGTAGTGCTAAGTCAAAGGAAAGTGCTAGTAATTCTGGGAGGGGTTTTAGCATTTTTGTACTGTATACTTCGCATTATTTTACTTTGAAATGCTATTTTGTTTTCTTCACTCAGTAAGATGAAAGTGTGTAAACTGTAATGCAAACTTGCTATCAGAACACCACTTACACTGTCCTTCACAGCTGTTTCTCAGTATGTTTACAGAAGTATTTTTTAACCAAAAAATAAAAAAAATCCCCAAAGCTGCCAAATACGTCAAGCCTCATGACAAATGAGTACTTCTAGTTCTGTTACAAGCACATTTAAACTTTTCAGGCATCTGCACACAGAAACTATGCTGTTTCCTTCAAACTACATACATCTTACCAGCCATTCTGATACTGCCCAAATGAAACGATCCAGTATTTCTCTTAAGGCAAAAAGCCACCCCAAATGAAGAAAAAAATAAATGAGTGCTTTCAACACTGCTCAGTGTGAAAAGACTAACTCGGGCTGTAATATTTTCATGATTCTATTAGGAATTCGTGAATCTAAACAGCAAGTCGGTCACCTCAGAAATGAGAACAGGAAAACAAGCACAGAAATCAGCAACAACATAGCTGTATGCGTAACAAGTGGATATAGTAATTCAATGTTAACTCCGCAAAAAGGGGCATTTTAAAGTATTAGACCATTAGATAAGATCTAAGCTTACCTTTTCTTTACCAACAGCAAGACCAATTAGGCTGATGCATTCAATAGTTTTTCCTCGTAAAAGTCTTAATTCCTTCTGAACAGCATTCTCAACAATGTGTTTTAGAGAGGGCATAAATAAATCATAGTAGGGAACAAACTTCTCCTCTGCTGTATCTGCAACTGATGCAATTGAAGTCACAACTTGCTCCAAAACTAGCTTAGTGCCTTTCTGTATCAACTTGGAAAGAGGAAGAATAAAGTGTTATATTTCTACAGCACATTCTTTACTTAAAAGCATGCCAAATGTAAAAATCTGCTCTTGTATGTCCTAACATCTGCAACTACGTTGGTCCAACATCTGCTTATTTCAGAGGTCTTAATTCAGCTATACTTATTCCCTGTGACAAGCTCACCCTCCATGAAACAATTTGTTCAGTATACTATACCTCTTGTAATTTTATCACCATAGTGGAATGAAGATGCTTCACTAGATTATCCAAATACGGAATAAGCAGCGACTTAGGACAATCTTCAGTGAAGTTTATGAGTGCTGCAGCTGCGTGGGCTTGAACACGCTGGTTGCCTTGATCCTCCATGGTTTGCAGAAGAGCTGCTATCACCTAAAGGAGAAATGTGCATTTTCAGAAACTCAGTTTCTGAAGGGGACATACTTCTACTACTTCCTCCCCCCATCGCACTACTTACCTTCTCATGAAATTTCTTTTGAAAACCAGGTGCAAAGTCAGTTGCCATTTGTCCAATAGCATTACAAGCAGCGTATCTTACTCTTGGATGCTGAAAAAGTATTTCCCTCAAATAGTTAACAAGTAGTTATAAGAGAAATGAAAACATTTTGAAATTATTAATAAACTTATACTCACAGGATCCTGAAGGAACAGCAAAACGAAATTAACTATCTCATTTAAAATTCCTTCCATCTGTTGATGGCAACCTTCTCCAATGGCTGAGAGCGCCATCAAGCCAGCATGCCTGTATTTCCAGTCAGCTACAGAGGAGTAAAAATGAAAATAAATGTTATTCGTTTTGGAAACTAAAAAGACAAACCACCTTTTTGGGGGGCAACAGGAGGAAGAAGAATGAAGAACAGAAGTAGGAAGGAAAATTCATGCATCTACTTGATCTGTCAAATACTTTTCACTTTTCCTCATACATACTTCCAGAGATGCACAAAAATTTGAGTATTTAATCCAGGCCAAATCCAGACCTAGAAAAAAAAGAATTCTTAACTGCTGATACAAGTATGTACATAGTTCTAACACCTGGAACCAGCATGTTAAGTAAGCTAAGCAGGGAAGCATCAGGACAGGATTTCTTTTTCCCCTTCCTATATATATATATATATATATATATATACACACACACACACTTTTTTTATTATATCAAAGCAGCCTATGAGCCTGTGTCTTACTCTTTAGGTCAGGAGGGGAAAAAAGGCCTAGTGAAACAAATATCTGAATTTAAAACAAATAAATGATCAGTACTGAACTTTTCCTGCCATTTCCCCGAGACAGTTTAAGAACAGTAACATTCCATCTAGAGATGTAAGGTTTGCCCTGCCTCCAAGTCCTATTTGTCTACTCTTTCGGTTTTTTGTTGTTGGTTTTGGTGGTTCGTTTGGTTGGTTTTTTAAACAGAATCTCTGTGCTTCTGTGCACAGAACCATGGGGATTACAGGAAAGAAAATCAGAGGAACAAAGAGGTTTATCAAATTGTGGTAAACGCACATAATAATTTCTTTCCTGAAATAATGCAAGATTTCAACATTCCTGATTATTTATTGAATTCTTGGAATGAAGAACATGACAGTTCAGAACATGGGAATCCTGACAGTCAGACTTGTGTTTCATGAGGATGAAATAAAATATTTTGAGAGAAAGTACAGTGAAGAAGTAGTTTATTTTGCACTGAAGTTCACTGGATGTTCCTTGTCAAGCTTACTCTTGCTACTCTAACTGTATTACTATTAGCATGCATTCTGAACTTGAAATTAATGATTCTACAAAACAAAATGCAATTATATTTGGACCATCTGGCTACCCAATCCAAACCCAGTTGCTCTAAATTATTATTTCAGTAAACATTTGTGAGAAAAATGGTTCACAGCATTTAAAGCTGAAGTGTATAAAAGATACATCGAGCAGCTAAGCATAAAGACCTAAGGGTATCAAAGTTTCTGAAAAGGACAGAATTGTAAAAGAAAAAAAAAAAGAAAAAAGAAAATGTAGCTACTTACGATTCTGAAGCATCTGCATAATATGTTCTTTAATCATAGGTAAAACAAGTTTTCCTCCGAGGCCACATGCCATCCTGTCCAGTGCACTCTCACCAGCAACTGCATTGCTAAATATCAGTTACAGAAACATCAATGGTTTGATAACTACACAAAAAAAAAAAAAAGAGTCCAGCAGGGCACAGAATTGCCCTCTCCTGCAGTTCTAGTCTTCAAGACTTTTGCCATCTGAATACAGTAGAGCCTCTGTAAGTAAATAAAGTGTACCCAAACCTAAACGCATACACGCTTGTCACAAAACAGTTACTTACCCACTACTGAAACATCTTATTATTTGTAGCCTACTGATTAAGTCTAGTACCAAAGAAACTTAGGCCTTACAAGCACTGAAGATATGGACCAAATTTTGCAACAATTACACGTACCTAGAAAGCTGAAACCAAGTTTGCAATGAATTACACAATATTACTGGCCATCATCTTTTTGTCATGAGAATATGAACCCGTTCAGACATGCTGTGAATCAAGTGAACTAGTAGAATTCAAGCTTTGGCACATAAGAGACCTTTCTTGCACAGCTGCAGGATCAGTAGTCTAGAAGCATGTTCTCTTGCCAATGACTCAGGCAGAAAACATCAGTCCAGGTGAGGAATCTGTGACTCCCAGGCAGTTGCAGAACTGAGAATCAACTAACATTATCTTTGTGAAGTGATCTGTTCCACCCAATAAAATTATTCCCTACAGAAAAGCAAGAAGGTTTCCAGGATACAGCTAACTACTGGTACAGATATTACAGCCCATCCTAGACACCCATGCTGATGGAAAAGCTGAATAATAGTTCAGAAAGGGATGAATCTCCCTCTTCTTTCACGTATCAGTCAGCTGGGTGAGAAATAAAGGTCTTCAAATTATTATGCTTGAATCCCCAGCTCTCATTACAAACCATAAACAGTCTAGAAACTCAGATGCTGTGAACAGCAGTGTTTGTGCAAAGATACTGACAATATTGTAATTTTTCTTCTAATTATTCATGTTCAAATAAACAGACACATCACAAGGAGGGCAACAGAGGAGGGACACCCAGGTTTAGACTGGAGCTGAAGTTAATGGCACTAAAGTTAATGGCAACTTTTGTGTGAAATTTTATTCTTTGAGCTCTTTCCTCTCACCATGAATTCAGACGTTCAGTTTGAGGAAATAAAGATAGTCTATCTTAGAAAAATGACCACACACCTCTCTGCAACATTTGCAAGGCTTTTGCCAGAAAAAGAGGAAGCTGGATTAATCTTTTCCTCCTTTAGAATTTCACTGCTCTATGAAGTGAGAGCAACAAAAACCTGGAAATGCTAAAATATTCCCTGCAGCTTTTGTGTAGGCTGACTCACATCCCCCTTAGATCTGAACACACCCTAACTAGACTACAGCCTGATGATCATTTCAGGGACTGAACAGAAATTCCAGTCTTCTTAAGAAGCTACAAAGACTCAAGCACCCAAAGAGGTCAGTATGAACATCAGCTTATCAATAACTCTCTACAAAAGTGGGAAACACACAGCAACACGAGTGAGAAAAAACTACCACCACACACAGACATCACCGGAGACTAGCTGATGTCCAGTATTTTGTGTCTAAGCCTCAAGCTCTCCTATTACTTTGAGGTCCAAAGGAGCTACATTTCTCCTTCAGGCTAAGGCTGCCAAGCATTACTTGTTTTCTGATCTTTGCTCACTCTACTTGAAACTTGTAACAAACCAAACCAAACCAAAAAAAAGGGGGGGGGGAACTGTCACTCAAAAATCCATAGGCAGCCAACTTGTGTTTAGAAGCATTAAGTTACTCTGCCGACAATAAAGACAAATTGGCATGCCTCAAGTGGATGATTCAGAGCTCTTACTAAGCTGCTTAAGCAGGATGTCTGAATAAACTCCACACCCTGAAAGGCTTGATGAGGATTTGAACTTTAATAGTCTATTTCCTCTTGAAATTCAGCTGAATGCAAAGATTCAAATACCTGACAAACCTGAACACAGCAGTGTCTGACAGTTTTACCTGTATAGCAAAATTCCAAAGTTGAGGAAACTAAATCTGTTAAAAGGGTGAGAAGGGGAAGAAACAACAGCTTACTTTCAATTCCATAATCAACTGGAACAAAAACAAAACGGTATTCCAAGACAAGCAGAAATTAAGTGGGTTCTTCCATAAATTAGAATCATAGAATCATAGAATAGTTAGGGTTGGAAAGGACCTTAAGATCATCAAGTTCCAACCCCCCTGCCATGGGCAGGGACACCTTGCTCTAAACCATATTACCCAAGGCCTCGTCCAACCTAGCCTTGAACACCACCAGGGATGGAGCATTCACAACCTCCCTGCACAACCTATTCCAGTGCCTCACCACCCTAACAGGAAAGAATTTCCTCCTTATATCCAGTCTAAACTTCCCCTGTTTCAGTTTTAACCCATTACCCCTTGTCCTATCACTACAGTCCCTAATGAGTCCACCCCCAGCATCCCTAAATACCTATGCTTTGGTTTGTTAAGTGTCTTTACATGCCCGATATCTAGTAGAAGTCACTATGTGGCTCAGTGGTAAATCAATGTCTTTTCTACTGCCTATCTTCCTACGTGTTAGGAATAACACATACACTTCTCAATGTGTTCTGTGGCAAATTGTTTTAAAACACTGATTACGTCTGAGCCTTGAAGGAGCTGGCAGATGCGGGGAAAAAAAAAAAAAAAAAAAGCAGCACCTAGACTGGTAAATGAACATCCCTGTCTTTACAGAAGTCTGGAGATAGCTATCTCCTATGCATATTTCTGCTTCTATTTCATTCTGTGTTTGGTCAAGAGCAGATATAACAAGATGCTGTAGACAAATCACTGTAATGCTAGTGAAAATCTGGAGCAAGATACAAAGCATGCAGGAATAAGCAACTCAGAAAGATCAGATCATCTTTAGTAGATCTTTCCTGCCTAGGACACAGCAAGATAAACTTCTGCTAGCCATAGCAAGGGATTTAAAATAATAAAACCGTATTTTTGAGCTAGATGAAATCCAGCAAGGAATTCCGCTATGCATTCTTATGTTCTTTCAAAGGTCAGCAGCTTTTCTCTTTAACACCATCTTTTCAAGGGCACAGATACAGAAAAATATGAAGAGACTGGATGTAGATGATTAAACTGGTCAGCAGCTCTCAACTTTGGCTCCAGCTAACTTTACGATAAGCCCTCAATTTAAAGGGTTAAGAAGTGCTGACTTCTGAACTGAGCAACAGAAACAAGTCTGAAAAGTTAAAACAATGCAAAACAGCAGACAAAAAGCACATGCAACATGTACAAGTAAATTACAGCAATACACAAATACCAAAAGGATTTATTTGCTGAACAGTACCTAAATAGCCTACTTAAAACCTGTTTGAGAACAGCCAGATACACTGCTCGTGACCAAGGGTACAAAACTGGAAGTTATTTGAGTTAAGGAGAAAGTAATGCACTGCAGTTATTTGCATCTTGCACTTAAAATTTGTCTTTAGCACACAGTCTTGATAAAATATCCGAACTAGTTTTATAATTACCTGTCAAAATCATCATCTTCAAGCTCATCTGCATTTGCCCAGTCTTCATCTTCTTCCAAGTCAACCATCATTGCTAACATTTGAGGAACTAAGAAAAAAAACAAAACAAAAAAACCCCCAAAAATTTTAAGCTCAGGTTTTCTTAAAATAGGTGAGAAATATCTCAAATATGTTCTCAAATAACAAGCATAAGTTTTAAGTTCCCTCCTTTCAAAAAAATAATTGAAGAAAAAGAACTCTTTCTCCAGTAGCAGTCAAGTCTGTCAAACTGCATCAGCCACTAACTCACAATACATTTTCAGAAGAGTATTTTCAGAACATTCAAATCAAGAGAAAAAATGTTGAGTGTATTTCTTAAAGACCCAGAGCTCAATGCAAGATTTTTTTTAAATCATAAAGACTGCAAATGTAAATTACTTAATAAAGTCTAAGCTCCTTGAGAAAAGTTAAAAAATAGCATTATATGTTTTAAGAACTCAGATATACTTCATTCATTTTGCTGAAACTCTGACATCACCCTTCAAAAATTCACTTATGAAAGAGACTGTATTCATGAAAAATGATACTCAACCCTGACAGGATGTATTTTGTTAACTGTATGTACAGTGGTCAATTAGCATAAAGTTTTATAATAAGCTAATGGTTTAGAACTTGAGATTTCCCCCCATGCAATGTAAGATTTTGGTTTGCATCATGAAAGTATCTTACACATAATAATCCAGCAGTTTTTCTGCTCCTACCTCTGTGGATCGATTCTGTGCTCTTCTCACTGTAAGTCTTTGAAGAGGCCATTACACAATCTTTATCATAACATTCAACTACTATACAATAGGCAACACCTATTCTTCCAAGTTGTTCACACTAGAGGAAGAAGTGCAGTGATTTGTCTATTGTAAGCCTGCCTGTTCTTGTGCACTTCAGAAGCCCAAAAGGGGGAAAAGTACATACATCTTGCACTTTCAGAGCAAAGTACGGTGCTCTTAAGTATTCTTTATATTATACTTCCTGCTCATAGCATTTGTTTGAATTCAACATAATTTATGCAAAGAAGCTTTATTTTGCCCTGAAAATTAAAGTTTTCAGTCAAATACTCAACCTTTTGAGGTTTAAGAATCTTTTTAGGACAATCTACCACATACCTTGAAGGCAGGCATCATAGTTACCTGTCCTTTACAGCAACCTACCTCAAAAACTAGAAGAAGCATACAGTAATCCATGCTGCTGATGAGATAAACTGCAACTGATTAGGTATACTGCAAGAGGTGAATTTCCTAATAACCTTACCCTACCGTAACAATCCTAGGCAAACTCACCTCATTATACATCTGAACAAATGATAAACTTCTGATGACAGAAGAAAATACTGCTTACTGACAGCGCCATGGGGCAAGTATCAAGAAAAGATCAAATTATGGATTGATTAGCTTGATGTGGCTATGTGTCTTCAGCCAGAGATTATACCATGTATGCAGAAACCTTCAGAAAGTTTTTATATACGTACCAAGACAACTTAATGGACACTAACTCTCTAACATGATGCCCACATGTCAGAATTCTACTTATTTACTAGTCACTGAAAATAATTTCCTTCAAAAAAATAGAGTAGTACAGACCAGAAGCTTTTCAGACACAGACACTCATAAGCACATGCATGAAAATAATGCATTGTCACACCTGTGTAATATGGAAGTCAACCATCATCTACAACAATTGGTACGTGGCTCCAAAAAATGTCAGTGTTCATTGCTACTAACAAGCAGGGCCAAGAACAAACTGTCGTCCAAAGCTGCCTGGCCACCATTACATCTAGAACCTGCAAAAGCCTGTGAACATATTGGTTCTTCTTTATGTTTAATATGAATGTGGCTGCCTGTGAGTGCAGTTTCACAAAGAATTTTTTTAAATGTAAAGGTCTGCATTAGAGTCTTACTAAGCCCTCCAAGTCTAATTATTGCCAATATACAGATTGCATACAAAGAAGTTTGACTAAGCCTGTTTCTTATCACAGCATGCCATGACTGTTCATTTTCTGGAGACCAAGCAAAACTATAGCCAAAGATAGGCAGCAGCTTTCATTTCTAGGGAAAGAGCAATAAATCATTCTCCTATATTGAACACTGAGCTCAAGGAGCAAAGTTTCAACTCATGGAATTCCTGAGCAGACAACTGGTACATAGGATACAGCCTTACTACTAAATCACCATCATGTTCAGTAAAACCAGCATAAGATGACAGTTTTGCTTAAGACCCCGTTCTAGTTGTGAGGATCAAGTGATCTAGCAACTTCTTAGTTGAATGAAAAGAGAAATCATTTTAAACTAAGCCATAAAACCAAGGGAAAAGCAATTTTTTTTTGCTGCCTTTTAATCATTCTGAAAGTAACTGCTTTACTAGTTCTGCAAAATACGTCTTTCACCTAGTGATGCATTAATATTACAGAGCAATTTTACAATGGCTTACGTACCAAAGGCGTTTCATTCCTACATGGTACCTTATCTTAATACAGTATCTTAATACAAATGTTTCATGGCTGAACAGCAGCTAGCAACCCAATGTGAAAGTAACACATTCTAAAAAGAAATGAGGTACTTCACTACATTGCTTGATCAGATAAGAAGCTTGTAATCATTTGGGGACAGCAAGTGTCAAGTGTTAGCATTCCTAACAAGCCACAGGACAGAGCATAAAGAGCATTATAATCATTATCAAATTTCAAAATACATTGTAAAAGAATTCGTTCTTTACAAAACTATTCCACAAATAATCAAAACTTCTGATTAAGCCAAGCAGATCCAGTTTTCAACTTCCAGTTTCCATAAGTTTTTAAATTATTTTAATGGCATGTATACATACAACTTTCCCCAGCCTCAGCACACATGTGAAAAAAAACAAAAAAACCCCAACAACAAAAAATCTCCAACAAAACAAAACACTCAACAAAACAAACAACACCAAAAAAACAAACAATTGTCTTTACCCAAGTTTCAGAAAACAAGCAAGAATTTAGAACAATACAAGCAAGACAAGAAGGGAAAATAATCCTTCCAAACAGCAGGCTACACTGCCGTGTCAGTGATCTGTGTGCCCTGATCTACTCTCAAAAATGGTTTAAAAGGCACAGAAATATCACTATGCGCAGCATTGGTGCTGGGGCTGTCCAGAATATTTTAGTATCTCAGATAATAATGCACAATTAAAAAAAGTGCCTCTCCGAAGAATTTAAAATCCACATGTTAAATAGACTAATTATAGACTACCTCTATTTATATAAGCATCTGATTTTTAATTCACAGCTTTAACTCAATATCGAGGCTTAACATGCATGCTGAATTCCTTCAGCCTTCAGTTGCCAGCACCACAGAGTACCTGGCCTACATACCAAACTTCAGACATAGAACTTGAGAACTAAATGCACCTTTTCTTCAGTAAAAATTTCCAAAGCCAGCAGAAACACTTGGAAGTAGTGTTTTCCTTGGAAACACCTAATGAAGAGTCTACCGTATTGTTAGGTTTGCTGGTGGCTGCATAAGCACAGATTAATTTATGAAGTAATAAGAAGGGGTTTTCTCTATAAAACTCAGTTTCGTGTCACCTGAATTTAACAGCACCAGCAAAGTTAGACAGGGTTTTGCCACGAAGTGCAAAAGTCAGTTTAGCACCGTAAAGACAGAAATTGTTTCAAAGAGAATGAGTAAAATACTTACTGGCTTGTGCAACGATGTTGGTATGCCTCCTCAGCATAGCAGCAGCAGTTTCTGACAAGGTCACAATTACTTCAAGTGCCAACTGACGCTGCATGTTACTGAGACTGGCATCTGCACACAGCTACAATCCAGAAGATTAGAGCACATGATTACAACAGAAGTTCTGGGCCATAAAGAGTGATTTATTTAAAAACAAAACAAGCTAGCTTTACCTTCAGACTTAGTTGCAATGTAGGCTCTAACTGTGGTCGTAAATACTTGGGAACAGAATCTGCAATTTCTACAAGGGATTTCAGGACAGAATCGTCATTTTGGTAGCAGGAATCATTAACAGCCTATAAAGGGGTCAGATGAAGATAAGGTTAAATAAAAACAAATAATACTATGAATGGGACCGCTGTTCTAGAAGAAATTTGATTAAATGTGATTCATTAACATAGCCTCGCTTAGCATTAGTAACTAAAATAGTTGAAGCCTTATGCTGCGAGAATTGACCAAGAGTTTGATAAAATTAATGCTGCTAACAAAGAACTAGCTGAATCTGGCAGATACGAGCAGAATGAAGAAGATAAGGAATACAGAGACAATTCCAAGAGAATAAAGTAACGTCAGAAGGCCAGCCCAGCAACAGTGAAAACCAGTATGAAATCAAGAGATCACTGATAAGAATTAAGTGATTGAAGATGGTTGGCACATGTATAATTGAGAAGCGCGAACTGGGGTAGGAGTCTCTTCGCAGAGGCACCCAGCTAGAGCTGTAAGCTGAGAACTAATTAAAAAAAAAAACTAATTGGAAGCCTTCATTCAGACTCTACATTTTTCAGTCGACCCTAGGGTCAGAAAACACAAATCTGTAACAGCTACAAAGGGATAATATGCAGGGTTGAAAACGACAAGTTTTCTACAGTAAGTTATGGCTCACAATGTTATGTGCCATCAATTTTGGCCCATTATTAGTTTAAATCTAATACAGTAGACAGATACTCAAAGAGTTACGGTCACACATCAGAGGCACCAATATGCAAAACCACACGATGTTTTGACAAGCAAAATCCATTTTAAGTTAAGAAAAACTCCTCAAACTAACTGCTCAAAAGGAGGAAGATGAGTAACTTCTTTTTTATCCCCCTGTTACATGACAACAGCTTAGAATAGCTTAAGTTTACAAACACCTGACAACTCTGGAGAGCCACTGAATTAAAGCAGACCTTTCAGGCTTCACTCACAGGACACAGGAAAGAAAAAAAGAAATCAAGGTTTTTGCAAGTATCCTTCCTACACCCATAGCTACATTCTGAAAAGTAATTTAAAACTTACTTTTAAGTGATCAAGTTGATACTTTAGTACCAGAACTGCACAGCTTACTCAAGGGTGTTAAAACTCTTCTAGAAGTAGCACACAAAACGCAAAACTCCAAAGAAAAAAAAAAACAAACCCAAAAAAACCCCCCCCCAAAACCAACTCAGTCTTTAAACAGACTTTTGGGCTTTTGAGACGAACTTTCATTAACTAAGTGATGTTTTCCTGATATAGAAACATCTGTTGAAGAGTTACATGTTTTTCTTAATACTTGAGTCTAGGATCCAACACTTTGATAATGTCACTCAAACAGCCCACACTTTCAACACAGTAGCAGCATTTTCTAGTATCAGAAATGTTTTGTGAGGGGAAAATAAATTTATCTTGGTTAAGGCCTTTTGTACTAATAATTACCACTCGTCCTCTGATTTTGGAAGAGAATAATGTAATCCTTACTAGAAGTTCCTGTAAAACTCTGTATTTTATCCCCATTTCACCTTTCACAGTTTTTTAAAGCAATACTAGGTTTCTGAGGAAAGAAGTTCAAAGTGCACAGTGAACCCTAAAAGGCAGAAGCACTTTTCTGTAGTATCAGACCCTAGCAACCACAGAAGTAAGCTGAAGTTCCAGCTTTTACCTCCACTACAAGATAAATCTCTTGCATCTAAAAGTTCCAAGTATTAGTACTGAAAGTTCAATTTTCACCATAACCATCACATATTTTACTGAAAGGACTGAATTGCCAAGTCAGACTTTTAGCTTTTTTACCCTGCCAATATTTCAAAATTAACTTCAACAGCAACAAAAAAAGCATCCAACTGTTTCCAAAGGTCACTCACCACTATTCTAGCACATCCCATCTCCTATTTATAAACTCAGATCTTCATATCAATCTTGCATTACCACAGCCAGAAAATCTAGTCCTTCTTGCAATAAGTACTTTAAAAAGACAGACTTCATAGCACAGTTCTGCACTGTGTACTCGCAAAATGAAGCTTGAAAATGCAAGCCAAGTGCATGTGTTTTTACAGCCTAAAATAGTAGCACTGAAACTTACAGGACACAAAGTGGGCTACCAGTCTGAAGTCTAAAAACAGCATACTATTCAATTGCCAAACATAAAGACAAATGGCATGCCCACCCCAAACCGTGCTTCACTCCCACTCATGCAGCACTCAGTAGCCAAAGTCCTCTCAACCAGCTACAATTTTTGAACAATGCAATTGTTATTGCCAAAGTCACAGACAGGGACTAACCACCAAAAAGTGACCACAGTATCAAAATACTTCTTGTACACACTACAGAACATTTTCAAGTTCAGCTAATTTTAATAAATTCCCCTCAGTCTGCATTCAAGATCAAGTAGAATTCCATCAATTGCAGAAGCCAGCAAACCTGGCACAGTATTTTTTCAGCTTGCCATAAAGCACACACAGACAAGCTCTACAGCTCACACTGTCAACAGGGACCTGCTGTACTGACTATAGCAAGCAGTCAGTCTTTAACTTGAATTCAGCCTAATTTAAAATTGTCAAAAGCTCACTACCACTGTTATCACAGGTACTTGGTTATTCTGACTTTTTCTTGATACACAAAGAGAACAGGATTGTGAAACTGTTGTCATTCGGCCCTCAAACCATTTCCATCTCTAGTTTGGCTTACAATAAGCTTCCCCCTGAGAGTAAACAATTTTATATTAGAATTCCAAGTTTGCTCAAATTCATCCATCCTAAAAAAGATCTAATCCAGCTTCAGAAATGGTATGAAGCTTAAAATGGCATTTTGTTTGCCATTTCCCAGTTTATCAAACTACAAAGATCATTTGTCTAGACTCTTGTTTTTACTCTAACAATCTTTGTTCAGAAAATTCTACACTGTCCCCTAAACTGAACAGATACAGGATATTATGGGTCAATGAATTACCCAAATACTGATTACTTGAAGTCTCATGGTTAATTTAAAAACTGTAAGACTTTGAGGTAGTTAACTCAAAATACCTAGGTAACACTGTGTAAATTAATCAGCATTAAACTATGTACCTTAAAACACTATCAACTAGGTTGTATTTACGAGATTCCATATCAGTTTCCAGTTTATCTTGCTGGTGGACTGAAGCCAGGCTAGTTAAGATAGTTAATCCAGTCTCAACAAAAATTCATATGCTACACAAATTTGCAGATCAGTAATTTGTTTGGATACAGTCAGACAGTAATAAGCATATTAAGCGTTATTTGTGTGGTTTCTTACCTGCAAGATTCCAGGTAGCAAGTCTGCAAAATGTTTAAGCAGGGGAAGATTGTGCTCATTAGCAAGTACAAATGCAGCTGCAGCTCTAGCAGACAGAGTCTTGATCTAGAAGACAGGATTAGAGAAAAAAACATGAAGACCTGGTAATGAAACATGCCTTTATCTTCTTCTAATATTAGGCCTATTCTTTGACTACATTTTGTATTATCATTTCCCTTTTACACTTTCCTAATAGATATATCAATTAGTTTTTAACATGGATTTTATATCTTGCTTCCAATTAAGGTAAAGCAGTCATGAAGATCTTCAGGATGTCTTATATGATATAAAAATGTTCATCACATTATGAGGTGGCAAGTATTCCCTAGTTTTATTTGCATTCGGTTTTTGGTTTGGTTTGGGGTTTTTTTTTGGTTTTTTTTTGGTGGCAAAAACTATTGTTTTCAACTTCCCTCCCTATTTCAAATGTGTATGCAAGTGTCAAAGTCCCATTTTTCATGAAGTGTGATCCAAGTGTTCAAAACAAGCTTCTTTAAAGACATGACTTGTGGTACTTTAGAAAATGTTACTCAGTTGACTTTCAAAGGTCAGAAAAAATAATCCATGGGGGAGCAACAAACTGAACCCACATACCACAGCAGGGTTTCCTATCCTTGCCCAGCATTTTCCACAAGAGAAACATTTTCAAAGTACAATTTTTCACACAAATCAACAAATCTGAAGCCTTCCAGAAGAGGCTTGCTAATATAACCTTACAGGGAAACACAAACAGTTCAAGGAGCTGTCGCATATTCGGTTTTGAGACATACCATGTATGGATACTACGTGTGGAGATACTACGTGTTTATACTGTTAAGCACAAGGGCCAGAAAGAAAGCTTAACAAGGAACTTCTGACCCCTCAATGTTGCTAGCTAAAACCCCTGCCTCTGCTTTGGCCCACTATAATTAGGTTTCTCAAAGCATAACTACTAGGGAAGAATCTGGGCCTAAGCAGTGCAGATAGAAGCTAGCCAGTTAGCTTTAAGACCATAAAAAGGCTTGACCCTTTTGGTTTGCAGTAGGCATAATCAAAACTCCATCACTTTCAGGTAATGCCATTCTCTGGTTGAAATCTGTGGTTTAATCTTCATATTTGAGACTACTATACAAAGTTCCTATGCTCAGGACATAGTAGGAAAACAAGCAAAGGTCTTACTGATGGATGCTCTTGATCTTGCATACACTGAACCAGCATTCTCTTAATGACCTCCAAATAGTGTTGCTGCTGATTGCCAAAAACCCCCGGAAAATTCCTAAGGATAAGACAAGACAAAAACATTAATAAAAATTCACAGTTTTAACCTTATTTTAAGCTTATCCATTGTTTAAGCTACAGATCACGTACCTTAAACACACTACTGTACGTGTAAGAGTTAAGTAAACCAAAATACCTCAGAATAAATGAAAAAAACATGATTTATTGTTAAAAATTAAATACATGATTGCTTGTTAATTCAGTTGTGGCAGTTTTTCTTACATTTTTACAGCCATGATTTCTCTAACCTGCAAAGATGTAGCAAAGCCTGAAGGCTTACCAGAAAATATGTAGAGCAGCCTCACGCAGACCCACATTCTGAGAGCTGACAGAATCAAATAAGAATTTCAGAACTTCTGGCCACTGGTTGTTGCCATCTTCATCTACATGAAACAACAAAATTTTAGGATAAGCAAATTTAAAGAGTGGTTAGATCTCAACTGTAGGGCAACCAGTCATCACTACTGGAGTTAATTAAAAAAAAACCCCAAACCCTGATCTGAAGATGTCCCCAAGTCACAGCGTCAAGAAGCACTCAGGAACAGATGATGAGCTCTATTTACTGTTACATAACAGGCCTTCAAGAAAGAAACTGATGCAGATGTTCAGCATGACATTCACGAGAATTTAAACAAAATTGGATTTCTAAATCTTAATAGAATCTCACCTAAACTCAAGCCATTTAAAGCACAGAGTTAAGGAACCTTACTTTTACCTTATCAAGGATAATGTGAACAAGTATTAGGTTTTATTTTAAACCATGAAATCAGTTAGTACATCATGCGCAAATGTCTACAGAAGACCAGAGAACAAGAGATAAAAATATAGCTACTCTCAATACATAGACGTTTTACCACAATACCAGCTTATATAAAGTACCTATTAAATTCCTGGCCAATTCAGCAACTATGTCACAGATTTTTTTTCTCATGCTGGACTGTGTTTCCAACTGAATAATCAACAGCAATCCACTTTTGATAGAGGTCTGATCATCAGGTGAAAGAGCTGGATAAACTTCTTCAAAAGCAGAGGACAAAAGACGACGTAGAAGGACAGCTGCCATTTGTCTAGCCTATTGAATAAGAAAAGTATGTTAAAAGTGTTTTGATATGATAATCCTGATCTTATTGAGAAAGATGCCAAACATCATGCTTCCCAATGACCAGTTTTCTCTGTGTAGACTTGTTTGGTGAATGAAGTACCTCTCAAGCAACAACAGGTGACAATTACAATACTAAGTAAAAACACAGTAAAGAAGCATGACCTCATGATCATGTTTCTGACAATTACAGCTCTTCAAAGAAATAATCATTAAATCCATTGATATACTCAGTTTTTTTCAGAGATGAACCTTGGACATATTTTGTGGCAAGGTAAGGATATATTTGCACTATTGAAAGATAGTTTGAAGCATGACGTCTTTCTATCTTAAATGACCTGCTGAGATAATTATAATCCAGATGGGTTTTTCTGGATTAACAAGTGACTTAATGGGACGGACTTGTCAGAAAATTAGCCTGTAAACACTCCTTCACTTTCTCAACCAAACTCCAAGTTATACTTTTGCAAATAAAACTTTACTCTGACACAACCCAAACACCCCCCCAAAAAAAAACCAAACAACAAAAAACCCCAAAATCAAAACTTTCAGCCATTTGCAGACCTATGACAAAACAATTTTCTTCAAACTTCAATAAGCGTAGGAACCTCAATACCACATGACAATCTTCTATGCTTCTTGCTCGCATAAAGCAACTCTACAACAGTGTAACTTACATATCTGTATTTATTTACAAATACACAAGAATCAGAAGCAAAAAGCATGGCTGGGTAATTTAAAATGAATAGAGCAACACATGCAGTAAAGGCAAAGACACATGAAGCACTGAATAACTTCATAAATAGGATGGTTCAGTAATCAGTGTTTCTAGAAAGACAAATTAAAAACCATCCACAAACTTCTGAAGTTTAACATATATAACAAAACCTTACACATGTTAAATCCTCACAAAAAAACCCCAAAACACTCCAATGTAACATGCACTCTTATTTTTCTGCCAAGATATCCTTATTTAATGTGTACTTAAACAAAAAAGTTTCATTTATAACAACCTGTGGAATTAAAAAGTATTCAGTGACCAGCAGAACTTACAAAGTCTGATTTCCAAAGATCTCTCGACTACACTGCTACAGCATAATCTACAGATGAGAACACAAACTGCCTCTAATTCTCAGCTTCTAATGTACCCTGCAAAAACTGGGTATCACTAGAACATCCCCCAAGATACCACTCCTTTTTATGTTCCACAGTCTTGAAACTCACTGTGCTTTCTTCCAATCTAGCCAGCTCTCTCCTATCCTGCTAAAGAGTAGTGTACGCAAAGACAAAGCACCTCTACACTAGCTGAAGGGAAGGACTAGAACTGGACTATACCCTAGATCATTTCTTATCTCCTTAACAGCTCCAGTGTGGACCAAAGCCACTATGTACACAGGATTAGTAGATCTAAGACAGATGAACAAAGAGGATCACAGTCACCAGTTGTGCAGTAGTTCCCATTGTAAGCCAAAGTTCTCCAGGAACAGGTCATCACATGGGGAATGTGACTTAGGAGGGAGAAAGATTTTTTCTCCGCTGCCTCTGGGAATCCCACTAACAATGTATCCAAGCACCTTAAGGGCAACACAATATAATGGAGTCTTTCCTTCTCCCATCTCTGGAAGCACTGATATTGTGAAAAATTAAATTTCTCCTTGTTAGTATGGTGAGCTTACACAGGAAAAACCTTGAATGTAGAGCAAGTTTGCTGGGACTAAACAAGGCAAAAATTTCAATGCAGTGTCTTCCCTTAATCAGGGCATTGTGTTTCTGTGCATAATGTCCAACATCTGATAATGACCAAAACTTCACATTATATTTATTCCTTTCCTGAAGTAATTAATAGGTGGCCAGACAGAGAATAAAGCTTAAGCTCATAAAGCACACAAAGATAAGAGCTCCCCCTCTGAAGAATTAAAAGTATTAGAAGACTGATTGCAAAGTAAAAACACAAGTAACAAGGCATATAGAAAGACCCAAGGCCAGCATTATATAAATTAGGTCCTCGTTATAGCTACTAGCTTAGAAAAGAATTCCCCAATTCCCTAAAGCAAATTCAAATGTTTGAAGGAGTGACAAAGAAACAATTGACTTCTAATAATAAATGGCATATTTTCCTGAGCAGATATCCACCTATATATGAAAATAACCACTGCTAATTTAGTTATGATGAACATGGCTGGATTAATGTCAGCTCTGAGGCTGTTTACTCTGCTTTAAGGAAGAAAGTATGTATTTTTCACACGCACCAAAAGCTCTTTCGTATTTAATTATTGCAAGATATGTACCCAAACAAGCATTTTAAAATTCTGTAGCTTAGTAGCTATAGCTTTAATGAGAACAAGAACAATATAAAGTGTACATCCCAAAAGAGGAACTTCCAATGAAGCATAAAAAAAGCAGAATTTTCTCCTACCACTGGGTTCTTCTGCATCTCTAAATTACTGAGGTGCTCGCATACAGTTGGAATGTTGAAGTTACTAACATAAGTAGTCGTAATTCTCAAATTTCAACATACCACTTCTTATTAATAGAATTTAGTGCTATAAAAATGTTCTAGGGTTTTACAGATGATGGAACCAAGGCACAAAAAGACAACCAACTTGCAGGGCAAGCGCAAGAATTATGAACAGAAATCTGGGACACCATACTCTCCACTGGCATTCAAAGTGTCCAGGTAATCCCACATACTTTGCAAGCAAAAGACTATCTTGTGTACTACAGTCACTGATTTTATTTTAGGTCCTCAAGGAGGAAAACATGCATGGATGGAAGCAATCAATATTTAGGACACAGTCCAAAGATGGATTTGCACAACCTCATTTAGGGATCCAGCCCCACGCAGAATTCAAAGCACGCAGTGTCTAACGTCCTGCATACTTGAAGGCAGAACTTTGGTGCCTCCAAAGTGCATGGGCTGCCTGCCTTCCCCTCCAAATGCTGAACAGGAAGCTGCCCACAGCAGTAGTTTTCAGATTAAGAAATGCAACCCCTTCATGTGACAATACAGAGAGGAGGAAGGGAAAGGTCAGAGCCCTCTAAGAGAGCTGCGAGTACAGCAGAAACACAGTTTTACACAGCACTTGTTACTGTATTTCACAGGGCTCAAAACTAGTCAACTGAAAATTAGGACACAATTTAAAACTGCCAAACTAGAGTTAACTGGGAAGAAAATATATGCAAGAGAAAATGCAGAACTTCTGTTCCTTTCGAAGATTTAGGCGGTAAATCAAAACTGCAAAGGAACAGCCTCTAACACATGAGAAGCATCCTAAGAATAAAAATCAGCAAATACAAATTGTGAATATGTACCATCTTTCTCCACAACCTTTTAAAATGCAGTTGCATAGGAAGAAGTAGAATCCTAACTTTGTAACAGTGTTCATAAAGTTGGAAACCTGGGCTCAAGCCCCTCTTCCGCCAGAGTTGTACAAATTATCTGTCACAGAAGTGTTCTCACTGCTAAATCAGACACTCCCCTCCACTTCTGTGAAGAGTGTTACCCTGCTATCAGGAAAATATGAAATGAGAAGAAAGGGAAAAGGTAATTATTTCCACAGTTTCAGTATCTGGTTAGGAGAAAACCTGTTATACAGTTAGTTTTAAAAGAGTTATTTCTGATCTAGCTTAATATTATTTTTTTTCCAATATCAAATGCAAGGGGTCCCGGAAGTAGGATCTGAATCCCTGTTTCTCTATTTAAATGCCAAAGCTACTAGGTTGCAGAGTCAGGATTCCCCCAGCTGCTGTCCAAATAGTCCTATGAATCTTGTATTCTCTACAACCCATCCCAGGATGGAGTACTTTCTTCAGCCTGATTTTCTTGTGAGGGGGTAAAGCAATACAGAGGTTTCAGGATTAAGAAGGATCTGAACTCAGCTTCCCCCATTGTCTGGGCAAGGGATCTTTAAAAGTTCTAAGGCTTCTTCCAGCAGCCTGTGTTTAGTGGTGTCTGTACATTCAGCATGCTCAGAGGCCACATAACAGGCCCAAAGCCTTATCCCCTGACGACATATGCACTATTCTTCCCAACATCTGGATTTACATAAAACATGTGCCGACACAAAACCATACCTGTTGACAGCAGCACCATACTGAACACAGAGAATGATTTCCTGCATGCTTATATGCAATGCTTAGCTGTAGCATAGCGATGACTTCACTAGACGGCTCTATTTAGGTACTATGCTTTTGGATTTACAGGGAAGAGAGGTTGTTTGCAGGTTTTATTTGGATATTTATCAGGATATTTTTTGAGTCCAACACCTAGTGTCTTCTTGAGTTATGAGCCAACATGTAAACTTCTTTGATTTATCCATTGGTGGACTTAAATGAAGTTATTCTACAAATGTTAACCTCTGATGTCTCGTTAAGAGTAACTTCTACAGGTGAAAAGTTCCTTTGCACTTGAGTTAAGCTGGAATCCAACTCATTGGCCAGATTCTGAATAAGTTGTAGATTGGGCTATTTCCTTAGCTGATATAATGGGAATAAAACAAATACATGAAACGAATATTTATTTACACAAGCATGAGTTGTCAACTCAGACTTCCCACATATATTCAAAACAGAAGCACATGCAATGCAGCTATGACTTCAAGGCACAGTTATCTGATTATCATGTATGACATTCTGATGAAAAAAGGGCAGTGGCAGATCTTACTTTTTTATGGCAAATTTAAATACAGGAGAAACTAAATAGCCTTTTACTGTTTGAAACCCCTCACAGGGGCAGGAAGGAAAACTACACAGCTCTTATGCAACCAGTTGCTAGTATAATATTAAAGGATTATGTTAGAAGAACATTACTTTGCAGGTAGATAAAGCATCAGTATTAGTAAGCTGATACTTACTGAGCACTAAAAAGCAAACAGCATCTACCTCTAAATCGAATACCATCTAAGAGAAGAGACAGTTATCCAGAGAGAAACAGCACATTTACACGCTCCTGAAGAGTACTGTTCATAAATTCTATATGCTACATCTTTCTGATGTTTTCAAATCTAGAGTTTTACTGGACAACAGATGTTTGAACTTTTAAATGACTCAAGCTTGTAATATCTTGAAAGTTTAGTAGTTCTTCAACTCCACATTTCCAAGTGAACAATAGTTTTACTAATAAGTACTATACCTGATTGCAAAGTATGCTAGCTTTTACAAAATAAAGGAATAACTAAAAGGTACACTTACTGTATGCCCACAGAAAAACTGCATATAGTGCTTAAACTGATCTCCATTCATTCTGTAACACTGCTTGACGACTTATGAGCACATCCTCCCCAAACAGGACAAAATACAAAAGCCATCTGCAAAACAACTGCTACCTTATTCCCCCGCCCAGTTCTCATTTCAGAAGCACAAGATGCATCAGATTATACCCCAGTTTAACACATTGAGGCACAAGACCCCAAAATGCAAAATATTCCTCAACTGCAACTTGAAGGAACAGCACAGTATCAGTCATACATTAGTTACTCATTTTAAGGAAAGAAACCATGAAAAACACAACCAGAAAACAATGGGCATCTAAGCAGATATTTATGAAAGACTACATCTGAAGCTAAGTATCCTCCATCAAAAAGTCTCAGCTACTAAACTTGACGTGCACCAACTAGATGAGCGGTTCCTCTACAAATGTAAATTAAGATGATTCAGTTAATGCCCAGCTTGTTTATTTATCCCCAAATGACCAGCACTGATCTCTTGCCCCGCTTTTTCAAATTCTCTTGAAAAAAAAATAATGCAAGATTCAAAGATTATTGAGACATACCTCCTCAGCAGCAGCAGTATTCCTGATTGCTTGTAGGAGAAATGTGATCTTAGATTGACCTGGAATATTCTCATATGTCTCCTGCATAAAAAGAGATGCAGCTTATTGTAAACAATTACTAGAAAGCATGTGTTAAACACTAACATGAATTGACTTTCCTTTTAAAACAACTTTACAACAGTTAATAGAACATAACATAGAAAAAAAATAAACCTAACAAAATTATCTGTCCTGTTTTAAAATCACAAGTAAAGTTTTAGCTACCTAATAAGACCTGACACATTGGAATGCTCTGTATATGCACTACTGGCCACTGAAAAGATGAGTTAAGAAACAGAATCACAAAATGGTTTGGGTTAGAAAGTATCTTAAGATCACCTAGTTCCAGCCCTCCTGCTCTGAGCAGGGACCCCTCTCACTAGACCATGTCACTCAAGCCCTGTCCAGTGTGGCCTTAAACACTGCCAGGGATGGAGCATTCACAACTTCCTTGGAAAGCCTGTTCCAGTGTCTCACCACTCTCACAGTAAAGGATTTCCTCCTTACATTCAGTCTGAATCTCCCGTTTAAATTTGAAGTACAACATATGAGGAAGACACATCCTCCTGAGAAACCATCGTAGCTTCTATCACATAGAAGCATTAAGACCTTTGGAAGCCTGAAACTGAACTAAGACCAACAGGTTAATAAACACTGACAAAAGTATAGGCCAAAAAAAGTGTTTAGCTCTTTTTTTGAACCCTTTACAGCCTTTGCATTTGTCATGTGGCAGTCACACATCTCAACTATATATCTGGAATAAGAACTTTACATTTCTAAATTACTGCCGGAATTTCAGAGTGACTATTTACTCTTCTTACAGAAACCCTCTTAATAAAATGGGAAGTTTAATGAGAAGTTTAGTTACACTGTCTTACACACTTCTGCTGTGCAGTACACTTGCTGTGGCTTTGTAAATTAGATTGTTATTTAGAAACTAGAGTGAACGCATGCAAAATACCTTTTCCTACCCAAAACATGGCATGTGTGAGCATCTTAAAACTATAAATACTTGTTTCTAATATACAAAGCCTATGTGGGTAACAGCAAGCTGAAGAGCAACCACTTGAAACATTCAGAAATAGTTCTACAGTTACTGACTCTGAAAGAGTTATTTTTTGTGAATACAGTTTTGAAGATAAATTACTCCACCCTCCAAATATTCACTATCCCAGCCTCCAGGAACAAGCCTACTATAATTTAGTCAGTTCCATGCCTGCCTACTTCACATTCTTACCATTTTAGCAGCTCTTTCAAACATTCTAGCAAATTTACACACCCTGCAAATATACCTGCTTCTTTCAGTAAAGCGGTTTCCCCATCACACACTTAATATTAAACATCATCTTCTTCCATCTTCTGTCCCTGTTTCCTAGTAGGCCTTGTTCATGGAGTCAGTTCTTACTTCATATTCCCTGTAGTTACTAATGTATGCTCATAGTCCACGAGATTCTGAATCCCCAATGAATCTCTGCATTTAATCTAATCATTTCATGAAGACTGCAAAATTAAATGAGGTTTAGGGTCAGAACAGAAAATCTTCTCAGCTTCACCATTTCCATGAATGTATGTATTTATATTGTACTATTATCTACAGATATAAAGACATACAGAGAAATAAGGAGGTTTCTTAAAGGCCCAGCATGGACCTGAAGCTACGATTTTGTGGACAACTGAAGCACTGTAAAAGCTGGCTTCTCTTATGCCAATTTTGGTAATAGCGAAATTCTATTTTGAGTTGTTTAGACTCACTACAAATGGCAGAAAGCTATCCATTTGTTCACCGACATGATTCTGTCAGTTCAGTAAACCAGATTCAGAGATGTTAAAGAGCACTAGGGCACGGTAGGCAAAAGGAACACATGGCCAAGACCAGAAACTCCCCCATGTGCTGGTGGAGAACTACATTGCCGACTTCTCCCACCTTACTACCACCCTTGGCTACAACCCTAACCATGTACCTGGATCCTGCCACATCTTCACTCTATTCTTTTAGCTATTAGTTCCCCAGCTACCTTATCCAGAGGTACAAGTTTCTCACACAGCATGACCAACTTTCCAAATACATGCAAGCAAATATCTATTATCTACTCTTAGTACTCATGTTATTCTAAACTTGAGAAATGTATATTAAAGAGCATAAAATCACCAAGACAAAAGTTTCTTTACTAGAAGGTAAGAGAAAGACAGGCTTTTAAAGTGAACAAAGTTCCAGTATTTTTAATGGGAGATAATATTAATTAACCAGGTTTCAGCAAGCTGGTCAGAATAAGTTATGAGCGTGCTAACACATACATAGCTCCATATACATAAATACTTAAATAAAAGCAGGTTTTAGGTGACTGGACTTTCCTTCCCCAAAATTTTTTCTTTTTACAGCTTTCACTACATGCCCACTCAAACAGGGTATGACTCTATACGTCCATTAAGTCTAGTGCTCAACAGAACATCCCTCATCCGTTTCAGTGACCAGACCTACTAGAAATAACCCAAGTCTGTCTCCTTCAGTTCCTGTCCATCCATTGCTCTTTATCAGTGGCTTTCATTAGACACAAATTAAAACCCATTATTCAATCTACCTGCAGTGATTTGAATCCCTGTGGTATTCAAAATTGCTTTCCAACAGTAAGTACACTATAAAAAAACCGAACAGACTACACAGATGCTTAAGATCAAATGAGTATGATTTTAACAAGCAGACTGCTCTTCACAGTTGACGAATGAGAGACAACCGGCATAATCTGAAAAAAAAGCAGGTTCAGACTGGGTAGAGTTTCAGACCCTTTGCACTAAGAAGCCAATCAAGCAGGAGCGGGTTGCTCAGAGAGCTTGTGCAGCCTCCATTCTTGGAGGTTTCCAAGACCCAGCGGGACAAAGCCTCAAGTGACCTGGTCTGACCTGATAGCTGACACTGCTTTGAGCAGGAGATTTGCACTGCAGACCTCCTGAGGACCCTTCCACTCTGAATGGTCCTAAACCATAAAATGATTTGCAATACACCTTGAACATATGCAAAAAACAATGTCAGATTCAGTGTAGCTAAATAAGTAAAAGTTACACTACTCGCTTGTATACAAAAACAATGTACTTGAAAAGTCTGGTAATCTATCATGACAATTAAGTTTTCTTATTCTAACTGACCACAGTGCATATGCAGCTACAAAGATAAAAACCCTCCAAACTCTATTCCAAGCAGGTTTCTGACCAGCTGTAAGAATCTAGATTTCAGATTTCTTTTCCAAGAATGTTTTCTTTCACAGACATTATGACATAGCTAATAAATTTACTTCGTCATGATTTTAATAAAGTCCAGAAAGTTAAAAGAAATGTTCTTCTGTTACATGCTGCCAGCTGAGAAGAGAAAGAAACTCAGCTCCCAGGGAATGGCCTCTGTTATAGTTCTATGTTCAGGAATGTGGAAATAATTCTTGCTGCTTCTCTAGAAAGTATCTGTGGTAATCGATATTTAACTTTGCTAGCTTTCTACAAATGTATGTCTCCCCTCCTTCTCATTCCCAAATTATATTTTGGACATTTTCACTGCACCATCAGAAACAACGCTTTTTATTCTTCACCAAACAATGCACTGAACTCTGCTGACCGCTGAAGTGATGAGAGTGATAAAAGACCCGATGCAGCCATGCAGTGGGAATTCATGCTAAACCTAGACGCTAGTATTTAATTCAATGGGAGATTCCCCACTAGGCTTGACAATGGAGTCTTAAGCATGACAGAGAGAAAGAATTAACGTGGCTTAGCCATCACAAAGCATTTCAGCTGAAATAACACATCTGAAAAGTTCTGCTGATAACAGAGAAGCTCAGTATATTGAAAACGCTTATTTTGGTGAAATATTTCTTAGCTGACGAAACACTTGAATACACGTAAGTTCAAAACCAAGCTATCGGCTGGCAACAGAAGAAAACCTCAGCGGGCCGGGGGAAGGCTGCGGCCCCGCTCTTGCCCCAGCCGGGGACAGGCCCCCGGGGTAGCACAAACCCTCTGCGAGGGCCGCTTCGGGAAGCGGCTACACGTGCAGCCGCCGGCCGGGGCCAGGCCGAGTGCTTCGATCACGCTCCTCCGAGCTCCGCACCCACGGAGGGCAGACACCCCACTCACCCCTCCCGAGCCAGCGAGGGCCGGCCCCGCTACCCGTCTGACCTCCCCTTCCCGGCAGAGCCGGGGCTGCGCTCAGCCACGCCGGCCAGCCAGGACAGAGCCAGCCTAGGCCCTGTCTCGCCATGGGAAATCGCTGGAAGCAGCCCCCAGGGCCCTGCACCGCGAGGAGCGCGGGGCCGGAGCGACCGGGCGGTGCCAGACACGCCGGAGGAGGGGGAGCGAGACCCCTCAGGCCCTCACGCGCGCCAGCGGTCAGAGCACTCGCCAACGACCGCAACAGCCCCCGGTGAGAAGAATCGCCCAGCTGCTCCCCGGAGAGCCGGCGTCAACGGACGGTGGCAGGCCCGGGCCGCCCCAGCAGCAGCTGGTGCCGCTGCTCACACGTGGGGCTCTGCCGGCCCCGCCGCCTCCCTACCCCCCTCCGCCCGTAAACCTTCTCCCTCCCTCCGATAAGGTCCGGAGGTCTGACAGGCCGGCTTGTCGGCCAGGGCCGTCGCGAGGCGCAGCCATTACCTCAGCCTGCTTGCGGACCGCATTGTCTGGACTGAGCAGGTTACCCAGGAGAAGGTAGAACTGCTCCTGCTCCGCCGCCGCCATTGCTGCGAAAGGAAAAGAGAGAGAGGGAGGCCGGCCGGGCGGGGACAGGGAGGCGGGGAGGGGGAATGCCAGCCCCCCCGCCCGCCGACTGAGAGGGAGAGAGGGCGGAACCACCGCCACGCTCCGCTCCCGGCTCTCCGCCCTGGGGCTGGCTGCGCCGGCCGTGCTCGCGAGCCCGCCCATTGGCTGCGGCGCACGGAGCCTCGCCCGATTCGCTGGCCTTCCCAGTGACGTCCTGGAGACTCAGGGCCGGGGTCGGGAGAGGGGGAGTGGAGAGTGACTGTACAACCGTCCCTGAATGGCCGTTCGTCTCCTCTTGCCTCATTGGTACACCTGCGGCACGGAGGCGGGAAATGCGGCGAAAGGCATTCTCATTGGTGGGTGGCTGTGGCAATCTCGGCAGGATTGGTCAGAGGCGCGGTCAGGCGGCGTGGGCAAGGAGGGGTTGTGCCGGGATTGCCGAGCTGGGGCAGGGCTGTGGGGGAAGGGAGGGAAAGCGCGGGAGATCGTAAGGCGTCTGCCGCCGCCACGCCACGCCCCTTTCCCGCTCCTCCTCGCTGAAGTGCGGTGACCCGGCGCCGTGACCCACCCGGACCAGGGCTGCGGGGCGGCAGTGCGTGGGGTGTGTGAGGTGGTCTTGGGTTCGCGGGAGAAACCGTTCACCACACATCACACATTAAAATCACAGAATCAGCTAGGTTGGAAGACCTTTAAGTTGAAGTGTTAACCCAGCACTGCCAAGCCCAGCACTAAACCTGTCACCGAGGGCCTCATCTACACGGTTTTTGAACACTTCCAAGGACGGTGACTCCACCACTGCCCTGGGCAGCCTGTTCCAATGCCTGAGCACCCTCTTTGTGAAGAATTTTTTCCCAGTATCTAATCTAAACCTCCCTTGGTGCAGCTTGAGGCCATTACCTCTTGTCATATCACTTGTTACTTGGAAGATCGACCTCCACGTCACTACAACCTCCTTTCAGGTAGCTGTAGTGCACTAAGGTCCTCCCTGAGCCTTCTCCACACCAAAGATCCCCAGTTTCCTCAGCCATGCCTCGTAAGGCTTGTCTCTCACAACACTTGTGGAAAAGATGTGTGATATGAGGAGTTTCACTGATACATTCAAGTAGCAGGTGCATGTATGGGTCCAAGGCATAAAGATGTGGGATACAACCCTTTTATATATGTATACAGGCATAGGTTCATATGGGTCTACATCAAGCTCTGCTTTCAATGAGTCCAACACCCCTCACATACCTCCACATCTGTTTCCACGCTCGTGTGATTTGGTCGAAGCCACATCAGTTCTCAAACAGCAGTCCGCAGCACGCTATGTTCAGGAATTCCAAGTATACGACTGAAAAGCTAATTAGCATTCTCTGCTCACACAGAGTCGCAGGTTCACAGTGTGCATGGTGAGAGGCTCTGAACCTCCCCCGCTCACTGGTTGAGGCCTTTCTGCCTCGAGGGCTACTAACTCGGAGCGCTCCGTACCGTGTGGCTGCGAGGCAGTGACTGGCCGCATGTGGTGCCGTCGGGGTAGGCACTACCGCTGGGGCGTGGCCGGGGGACGCAAGCGCTCTGGGAGAGGGAGGGAGCAGCCAGTGAGCTGGTGGGAGACCGAAGTGGCTTCTTGCTTGGGTTGAGGATTGCAGGCAGAGCTAGAGCATGGTTTTAAGCTGACTGAAAGCTCGGAAGGACCAAAAGTGGAGATGAATGACGAAAGCAAGCGTCCTTTTTAATGTGAAGTGCTCTTCTGGAAATGCCCTCAGATGCCAGCTGTGTGGATTAGGTGTTTACAGCTTGTCACATGTTCTGGAGGGCCTTTTGGATGGGATCTTGAAATAAGCACAACTTCCCTGCTTTTCTGTCACCTGTGGTTTGTATGAACTTTAATGACATTGCTGTATGCTTTCCCTGTGTAAACAAATAAATGTATTTGCTTTCATCTTAACTTGTCTTAACGGTGATTTCACCATAAATCTGTAGTAGGATTGCGAGCTAAAGAATGCAGTAGCTGGTAGGGGTTGGAGAGAGAATGTAAACCGTCAGATGCAGAAGACTGTTTTTTTGCTCATGCTGTTTTTTCCATCTGTAATTGTGAGGAATGGGTTGTTACATAAAAACTGTCTCTGAGAAACAAATAGGCAAATGGAATCAGTAATTTACCAAAAACCTAAAAAACAGTTGCAAAATAGACTTTCGAGTACCAGTGTTGAAAGTCAAAGTCAGAGCTCCCTTGGAAAGGGAAGGCAGGAGCAACCTGATGCAATTTGTTAGAGCAAGCCTAGCAAGAGTGTCTCTTTATGTATGTGTGTTTCCATTCCTCTGTTTATAATGATTATAAAACTTGGGTTGTATAATGCTCTAGGAGTGCATTTGAATACATGTCACCCTGGAATTCAAGACATTGAAGCAAGCATCTTCAGCAGGTTTGAGAAGAGCCTGCTGGTTAACCCACCAGATCAATGCTGCTCTGCTTCAAATCCTAAGAGTTTGATGAAAACAGATTAAAAAGTTCACTTAGGTAAAAAGTAATTAAGTAGTAGTCATTGAAATGGCTAATGACCTTAATGACAAGACACGTGTCAGTCATTAAGCTGCCCATTAAGCTTCCCATGCAAGTTAGACCCTACAGATTTGAAAAGCTGCTGCATCTGTAAAGAAGCTTTGAACAATATGTACACCTGGGAAGAGGGGTCCCAGGCTTCCCCCAATGCTGAATTGACTCGCTGGATGTCAAATATCCTTTGGAGGGCATCAGACTCAGGGAATTTTGCTCCATCCAGAAAGCAGAATCTTTAGGAGCTTCAACATAAATCTGGGAGCAGTTTCTGACCAGGTATACCTCATAGAGTTCATACTAACCTTACCAGAGACCACCAAAGAGTGCAGATAAGTAACTACTGGAACAGGGCTCTTCCTAATGCTCATTTTACTGAAGAGTGGTAAAGTGGAAGGAGACAAGGTTTTTGAGGGATTACAGATAATAATACAGTGAGACTGTTCTTGCTGTATCATAAGACAAGGCAGGTAATTTACTGGACAGCGTGAGTGGTATCAAGGTTTACAACCTGCCCAACTTCATTAATGTGCACATGCAAATCTTGAAGGTTTGTATTCATCATTTGAGTTCAATACAACACCATATGATTTTGGTAATCTAGGAGACACTTTTGAAACAAGTGTTTGTAGATCTGCATAATTTGATGTATTGACAGCACAGAGGTTGGGAAGAATCCAAACCTCGTGGTGTTTGTATTGAAAAATCTGGATAAAGTATGAAAATATAAATCAGTTTTAGTCAATAACAGCAAAAGATGGTACGGAGAGATGTAACGACTCTTAAGATATTAAGATAAAGGCACAGGGGATTACCTTGTACCAGAAAAACACACAAAAAAATTGGTCATTCTTAGAACTGAATTCAATATTATAGAATTCAATTATTATTGAAGATTTATAGATAGCTTCAGTGGTATTGTTGCTTTTATTAGGGCAGTTTGTCAAAAGCATCCAGCTGACAAGTTGGTCTGAGCACAGCCTTGTCACAAAGGCTTTGATCAGGGTAAAGAAACCCTCTGACCCTCCCTGTGTTAGCCTAGACTACAGTAAAATGCTCGAACAACCTGCTAGTGCTTGGGATGCAAGTCCGTGGATGACACTTTTCTTGGCATGAAAAGGGAACATTGCTTTTAAAAACAGGTGCAAACATGAACAGAATTACTCCAAAATGAGTACATCACCATTGTGTTGGTTATTAGATGAAACACCATTTCCTCAATCACAAATTCAGGGTTCCCAGGGAATAAGTAGCAGTGAGATTTTTGTCAATGTCTCATAATATCCATAGCAAATGTCCTTTATCCCTAGAGGGCAAAACTTGACAACCTTAAAATGAATTCAGTATGAAAGAATGTGGTTTTGAATGAGTGAATGTTGGCAGGTCTGATTACATATTTATTTTTTTGGCAAGACTCTGCGCTCAAAGCATCTTGCCAGGCTGCACAAGAATAGGCAGATTCACAACAGTTTTCACACATTTCTATTTGTCAGCCAATATCGTTTTTATTGTATAGGGCACTTTATAAATACACAGAAAGAAAATAAAGTGATATTTTTTTCAGAGGCAATGAGCAAGGTACTGTGAAATACCTGCTGAGCTCCTGCCAAAAATTTTGCTTTTCCTACTGAAAAAGTTGAAAGCTGCCTGCTGTATCAAGATGGTAACTTAACAGCCTCCTTGCTGTCAGCTGTACTTCAGGTTTGACGTTTCATCAGGTATTATTCAGAACTAATGCAAAATCATGAACACCACTGTGGGAATGCACTACTACTATATCTAGGTCAGCTTGCCAGAATTCAAGATTCAGCTGTATTTCTTGCTCCTCCCTGAACTGATTCTGCCATACTGTTGCACAACTTCATTTCTCCTTCCAGCTTCTCTATGCGTGGGAGAAAAGAGGTTGCCAAATAGTAAAAATTCAACCCGTTTTGCTATACTGATAGAAAACCAAACTTTTCAGCAGGAATCAATTTTGCAATTGTTTATGCATTAAACAGAGCATTAATTGGTTTGGCATATTATTTGGCTTATAATTGAGAAGTCTATTGGAAGGAAGCATGTTCTGTAGGCACAGAATTATAACACAGTACATTGCCAAATTACTAAGATTTACATGCCCAAATATGTGTTGAATGTATGATTTCATTTATTCTCTGGTTTGTCTCATAAATCACTTGCTATTTTTTTGCAGATAATATATTACATTTGGCACACCTTTCTGAAAGTTCAGCTAAATATATTGCATTTGGCACACCTTTCTGAAAGTTCAGCTGCTGTTAAGCTGTTTCAACGCACCTCTGAAAGAATGTCTTCAGATCTTCAGGTTAAAGAAAATGTCAATTTAAAATTTTAAAGGTCCAGTATTAACAAGTGATTAATTGTTTGGAATTGTGACTCATTGTGAGAAACTGTTTAATGATCCATATGGGGGGGAAAAATACATGAAATTCAGTCAGTCATAATCATTTGTAAACAGATGGAAGGACATATGGACACAAGACAGGTAGAAAATTAGTTGTGATTTGGTCAAGCAATAGAGTGGCAAGACCACCAATGTACTTTTGGGTTGCTCTATCAGAAGCATGGCTTCCTGGAGTGATGATCATTGCTGTGGAAGCATCACCTCATGTGATCAGAGGAAAGTAGCAAACACCAGTGCAGACTGCAAGTTGTGGATGTGGTATTTCCATTCCCTTTGATGAAAATTGGATGTGCTTATCACAGGAAGGACTTTAACCTAGAATTAGGGACTGGGAGGATGCATTTAAAAGGAAAAGCTAGAAGAGTTAATGAGCAATTACCATGATAGATATTACAAACACAAATTACGCTGTTGAGAGTTATATCAAGTATTACATATCTTTACACATAGGCTAAATTAAAGGAAAAAATCCTTTGCCTATATTTTTGGAAGTTTTTCCTTGAACTTTATTGACCATATGCAGTCACGTATGTGAGTAACTGTGCTGTAATGTTGAGAAAAGTTCTGAAATGTATTTGCATGGAAATGTTTGTGTTAGTATTTAACACATTCTTAGCGCTTAGCTTTGTAAACTTAAATACTTTTCTAAACTATTATTAAAGGAAAAGCAAAAAATCTATTACATGAGGTTAAGATAGGACATTGTAAGGGTATGGTCTTCCCTCTGGCCTGGCTTTCCAGTGTTTCCAGTATTTGAACCTATCTCTGTCTACTCTTCAGGTACTATTCATTGGTTCCAGCTGTTAACCTGGACAAAGCCACCTCGAATGTGCTCTTGCAGAATAAAAATCCAGCTCAACAGCAGCCTATGCAAGTCTCCCTCTGATCAACATTTTTGAGAAATTTCCTTGAAAAAGACATAAAAAGCCTCTATTCAGCATATATGAACTGTGACTTCTTTTAGAGGTTGAACAGTATTTTGAAAGTGTGCTATGTTAAAATGGCTTTTTTTTTCAGAGGCAGCTTATGTCAAATAATTGCATTAAAAAATTCCCCAGCACAAATTTCAAGGCCTTCCAAGCAGGCCTATCTCAAACTAAAACTTGTACAAATTTGTTAATGAGGGCAAGCCAAAATAGTGTCTTTTAGCCCCGTTCTTTGAAATGCCTAAATGTTCTGCATGAAGTCAAAACAAAAGTGATTGACACAAACATGGAAAATTTTAGTACATGTTGTAGAAAAAGAGGTACCAGCTGAGTTTTAATCATGCTTTAATTACCTTTTCATTTATATGTAGTTGTGTCATCTCAATTCCAATGCCTTCCAGCCATTAAATTCCATTCTTGCCTGTGGTTCCTAGGCTTTCTTAGATGTATAGTATGAAGTGGCATTGGTTCCACTCAGTTGTTCTTCATTATCCGTTAGAAACTGAAAGTTGTTCCCAAAGAAAAATGAAGGTCAAATTGTTTAATTAAAAGAAGACTTGATTTTTATTTTTTAAACAGAGATGGAGACCGAGAGCAGCCTGCAAGACATTTTGAGCTCCAAAGAGTTTCAGTTTAATCTAGTTTAGATTTAATTTAGTTTTAATTGCCCTGAATACCAAACTTATCTTACAAGTCTAGAAAATACTTGATTTTAGTTCTTGTCTCTTCTAGCTTCCTAACATTACATTTCTCTAGCTCTCTTTCATCAAATAAATCTCACATGAGCTCTCTGTAGTTCAGGTATTTGTATTCCTCGTGCTTTCATTGAATTTATTTATTTGGCATCTGTGATTCTCTTTTATGCCTAAGATAGGGCACAATATTTGTCACTTCAGCCAAACTGAAAAGATACTATCAGAACTTGAACTTGCAAATATTGTTGGATCCTGTGTGCTATTTGGGAAGAAATGTATGGTATCTCCTCTCTCTTCTAATGGTTGTTTCTGTCCTTTATAGATTATGACATCTCCACCAGTCCCACCTGAAAACGTTATTAATTGTATTTTTTTAAGAAAAGCATTTCTGGTATCTCTTTGTTGTGCTGTACACCTTAATTAGCCTAAAATGTCAAGGTGCCAAGATGTTAGTTTGCATGTCAATTGCTCTTTACTACTGTAGCAGAAAAAAATAAAATTCAGTTTCTACAGCAACAAGAGTATGATTTTAGTAGTATTTACTTGTTGTATGGTTCTAACATTTACATTTTTAATATAATATGTAAATAAGTGTAAATAATACAACAGTTGGGCTTTTCTAACCAATGTGTTGAAGGGCTGCATTTCTGAAAATGCGTGTTGGACCTTTCTTTGTATGGTTCAGTAAAACATACTCCCTTTTGCTTGCCTTCTTTCAGGGGAGGAAATCGAAAAGGATAATGCAAACCATAAAAGATTTGCACACTATCATCCATTGCAAAGGGTGATGTGTCAATGGTACTTTGCCATGGAGGTATTTTTTTGTAAAAAGAAGATGAAAGACATACAGATGTTTGATGAAACTGTTAATGAAAAAGAATGATGCTTGAAACAGTTGATAAAACAACTGCCAAAGGGGAATGTCCTATTGATGGATGGTTTGTCTCTTTCAAGTAAGCTATATTGCAGGTAATAAATACTGGCAAACAGTAATGGCCATCTAAACAAAAGGTTTAGAAGCCACCATACCTCTGATAACCTTAGCAGCAAGATTTGACACAATCTCATTATAGGTAAATAAAGATCTTTCAGGGAAGATCACATTTATCTAAGTAATTTTTTTTTTGTGGGACAGGGTATTTAAATTCTGATACTTTTGGTAAATAAAGTATAATTAAATTTTTATTATTCCTAAAATCCATCTATGGCAATGGTCAAATAAAATGTTTGGGGAAAAAAAAAAAAAGTTGAATATGTTTTTTCTTTAGGATTAATGTAGGAAAATGGAGTTAAAATTATCTCCAGGGAAACATCATAAATTTGCAGAATCCCCTGCAGTTTTTTTCTTGTTTTTCTTTTTCCTCAAATTACCTTTTTTTTTTTTTTTAAAGTCTTGCTGATACAAATACTTCAATAATGTAGGGACAGACACGTTCTGTTGTTCTTAAATATTCTCAAAGGAAATCAATGACACACTGGACCAGGAAATCTTTGCCCAGATTTTTCCCCTTAGGCATGTAATGCAATATAAAGAAAAAATCTATTGGAAAAATGGGGGTGTGATGGTTTACCTCTGTGTTTTCTGTGCTTGTTATTTGGATACTGGACATGTTTCGGTCACTGTTTTGTCTGCTGTGGTTAAAGTTTCAAGTGCTGGATGTGTTATGATTGTAGAAGCCTTCCTAGGCAACCCATGTGTACCTTGGAAAGCAGGTTGTTTGGGAAAAGGGACAAAAAAGGAAACATTTGTATGACTCTTGCTGTATTTGGCCTCCTTTGGTGCCGTAGTAATAAGTAAATGTGCTTTCCTTGGGAGGACATAATTCTGCTTTGCAAAATAACAAGAAAGATCAAGGAGAAAAAAACCAATAGTGAGTATCCTTGGGAAAATTCAGTGAAAGAGGTTCCAGGTGAAAACTTAGAATTCTATTATGTTTCCTCCTGTGAGTCTGAAAGTCTCATTCCTGCCTTCTCCCCTGCATGCTTTGCCCCTGTGTGGCAGAGCATATCTCCTTATGCTGGGCACATCATCCTCTAATATCAAGCATATGCCACATGGCCATCTGAAATATCTATCAATGGGTGATGCCAAAGCATCTGAGATAGTAAACTGGTGGCCTTAGGGCAGATGCCTTTCTCCAGCCATTAAAAATAGAAGTTTGAGAGTTCCTTCCAACCTTTTGATTTCCTATGAAATGTCTGGGTTTGCTTCCCATTACAGAGAGGGTGCTGGTTTAGAAGGATTTTAAGCTGGAGTCAGTATGGCAGCTTTTGTTCTTAATTTTTAACATAATGAGTTCTTTGCTTATCATTGAAAAATATATCACCTGGAGATTATCCTGAAGTTATTTCCCAGAAGGAAACGTGCTTTCCCCAAAACAGATTAGGAATTCAAATGGACCTCTGCTTATCCTCAATCATCATAGAGTCATAGTATCATATAATAGTTTGGTTTGGAAGGGACCTTCAGAGGTCTTCTGCTCCAACCCCCTTCAATGAGCAGATATATAATGAACTAGGTATTAGGCAAGAAACCAGCATGCTGATGCAACAGCATCCTATTTAGTATGTAATGCTTCCCAGGCAGCCAGCAGCTCTGTCTTGGTTATACTGATGAGTGCTCCCACATGTCTCAGAAGTCATTTACATGCTGCAGTGCGAGTTGTCTGATGAAAGCAGCTGTTTGCGAAGTGTATGTTTCAAGAACTTTAAAATGGTTAGATCTAGAAAAGTGTGAGGGTCCAGGGGGAAGAAAAGTATTTTCTTGCTAAATCGAGGACTGCAAGATTTGTTGTGATAGATAATAGTTTGATTTCCAGGTAAAACACAGTCTAATCCCTGTGATAGCAGCAAACAGCTTTGAAGATGCAACAGGCAAGGTGTGGCTGCTTTGCCTAAGAGCACACATCTTGATGTTTTAAGTTTAAGAGAAAACTTTTGCCTGTGATTTGTCTTGAGTATTAGCCCATTTTAAAAAATATGCACAGCCTGTAGGACCAACATCCATCTGGATTCAGGTGATTACACTCTGACGGCCATCAGCATTGCCTTAGAGACATGCAGCATACTCAGCAGGAGCAGCTTCCATGCTATGGCTTGGTTCATCTCTGCTTCTAGACATCTTATGCTGTGTAAGATTTATTTCCATGCCAAAGCCACTCAAGAGTCTGTACAGCCATCTCATTATTCCCTCCAGCAATGTCACCACCTTCGTCAAAGTGCCTGTGATTGTCATCAGTTTGTCTGCTTTTTTGCAGTGCACGGCTGGTCTGATGGCAACTGGCCTCCTTCATGGTTGGCAGCAGGCTTTGGGAGCTCACAGAGAGAAATTCTGCATCATCCTGGAAGTGCATATGCATGCAGAGGGTCTGTGTTATCATGTTATCTGTGGGGAATGCTGTACCTTGCACAGCTAGAGATGCAGGCACAAGCTGCTATTGCCTGAGGGCCTTCATGATAGGGAGGAACAACTTTCCTGCTAAGCACAGAAAGATTCAACATCAAAGGTCTGGAAAAGGGCTTTTTTTTTTTTGGTTGGTTGGTTGGGTTTTTTGTTGTTGTTTTTTTTTTTTTGTGTGTGTGTGTGTTTGTTTTTTTTTGTGGAATGAACCCCAAACAATGATTTTGCACAACTGGAAAGTCTTCCAGTAAAACACTATAATCTGTGCACATATCCATGCCACACGTGAAAATCGTGCTGAGCAATTACCAGTGTATGTACTGCTTTGAGGTAAACTAAACAGCATGAAAAACATGCATGCATCTTCTGAGGGTGGTAGTGGATAATGGACAGTGTGTCAGGTGTTCAAAACTCTTGGGATCAGGATTGCTCCTCTGCACAGATATCCCCTGCCAGATCCACTTTATGTATTGCATTGACTGATGGTTGCTTTATTTGCCAAAAGAAGTACCAGTTTTATTTGCTGAATGTAATATGTAAATCTCTCTGTTTGGCATCATCAGTTTATTGGTCATGGTTTTACTAGCTTGCATGGATTGCTTGCTGCTTTGTTATGCTGCAAGAAAACTTTTTAATATGACTACCACTTCTTATTTCTTCACATTAAGTGGACAACAAATAGTGGTCAAATAAACAGTGTCATTCAATGCATGTAGTTGCACTAAGACAAATGTATTTTCAATGAACTGGAGATTGGTAGTTCTTTACAAAAAAGAAAATTAGTCATCTTAACTATCAAAATGCTATCTGAAAAAGTAAAAACAATTGCAGGCAGCTGTAATGGTAAAAGTAGAAATAGAAACAGGAATAGGATAGACTAGACTAGAGTAGACTAGACTGGACTATTTCAGTTGGAAGGGACCTACAGTGATCATTCAACTTGTCCAACTGCCTGACCGCTTCAGAGCTGACCAAAAGTTAAAGAATGCTGCTAAGGGCATTGTCCAAATGATCCTTAAACTCTGATAGGTTTGGGGAATCAGCCATCTCTCTAGGAAGGCTGTTCCAGTGTTTGACCACCCTCTAAGTAAAGAAATGCTTCCTCATGTCCAGTCTAAACCTTTCCCGATGCAGCTTTGAACCATTCCCACACATCCTACCACTTTGTACAAGGGAGAAGAGATCAGTACCTCCCTCTTCACTTTCCCCCCTCAGGAAGCTGTAGAGAGCAATGAGGTTGCCTCTCAGCCTCCTTATCTCCAAGCTAGACAAGCCCAAAGTCCTTAGTTGCTCCTTGCAGGACATTCCTTCCAGCCCTCTCACAAGCTTTGTTACCCTCCTCTGAACACATTCAAGAACCTTCACATACCTACTGCTGCAGTGCCCTTCTTGTTCCCTTTCCATGTTAATCCTTTCTGTACTTTCTGTGTGGCAGATCTCCCCATGAGGATCTGTTTGGTATTTAATTACTACAGGGTCCATACTTACTCAAAGAGCAGTAGCTGCCACCAAAGGGCAGTTCATTTTAACTGGCACTTTGATTAACCCAGGGAGCTCCTCTCTTCCTCTTTTTGTTGACAAAGCCCAGGATGATGCTTATTTCCAGGGTAGGTACACCATTTACATGGGGTGGGTCTAGATCCTCTGTCACATCCAATAGAGATGAGAGAAGGAGGTCTGCTTTCCTCCCTGCTTGCTGGCACTACCAACAGCTCTGTGACTTTCAAGAGTTGGTAGACTGGGAAGCCCTGCATGTGGAGGATTTGCCAAGGTCCTTACTCTGGCTGGGCAGCTGGAGGTGTGGCTGACCAAAGTCATGTATGCTTCTCTCTACGCTAGAAATTACAGAAATCCCACAGAGGGGTACAGTGCTGCAGAAATCAATATGTAAACCACATAAAGTGAGCAGTGTTGCTGGTGCATGTCTTTATATGAAATGCAGCAGAGGAGTCTGCTTTGACATCAGTTTGAGAAGTAGTCTGATAAAGTTGGCTCTATTGAAGTAACCACATTAAATGCTAAGAACTCCCATCTGCACAACAGGTTTGGTGTGGGTTCCTAGAAAGGGAGAAAGATGTCCTGCTGAGCACGCTCTTCTGTATTCTCTGTGGATTGAGATGCAAGTAATTGTGGTTACATGCTAAGGACCTTTTCCAAAACTCTCCTCTCCCTTTCTTTTCCAGTGAAGCAGGTTTCCTGGAATAAGCACATCATGGAAACAAATGACTTTGGTATCTACTGCATGGCTGGGCAAAGGACAACAGGAGGAGAATATATCATGAATATATCAATGTTCTACTTACCTTTTCTGTGTATCTCCATTAAATGAAAGACTGAGTCATAGTTTCCTCTGGCATCTAAGTCATGAAAAGGGGGAAAAGATACTTTCTGAGATTTCAGGGATCATAGGACCCTTTTCAGTGGTGGAAGAAACACTCCAATCTCCAAATGCTTACTTTAATCCTGTGAGAAAGAAGCAGCAACCCAGAGAACATCACATGAGGTACCAATTTGCTTCTGCATCAGCAACTACTAACCAGAATAAAGAGCTCTCTGCCAGCAGGTAAGGCCGGTTCATGGCAGTATGTGCTTACTGTTTCATTTACACTGTTGCAGGCACATCCCACAGAAGAATGAATAGGGCCAGATG